AGGACTTAAAACACACAAAAACAAAACGATAACAAAGTCAGTGAACTTAACCGGCTTGATGAAAAATTCCGCCACTTACCTTTAATAGTGTGCATAATCTCGCAAAGGAAACATAGCATTGGTAGTGACTTTGCATAAACTAGTGGCCAAATTAAGGAAAGAGTCAATAATCTATGGAAAAAAAATCTATAAGCACAGCTCCTAAACCAAGGCAAATCTAACAGTAATTATTCATCCAATACCCACTAATCGAACGCTCCTAGATCGATATTCCTACCCGCGGTGTAGCAGTGATCTGAATTCATACTACGTGATATCAAATTTATCCAGGTATTCAAATGTAAATAGACTGGACTCCTCTAAAATAGTATCGCCCAAATTGTAATTCAAAATTGTACTGATGTTTATTATAAGTCGGTTTTGTTGTTTGAGATTAAAGGATAGGTCAAGGTTGGAGCCAAGGTTAGGCCTCGGACCAGGTTGGGATCTAAGTCAGGTTAGGCCTAGCGTTATCGGTAACTCTACTGTTGAAGTGAGAGTAAGGGTAAGGCCAAGGGTATCGATATCGGCATTTAAAAAAAAAACTTCGATGCCGCCCTGATAGTTTACATATAAGCTTCCAAATAGACAGAGACGTCTAGGCAAAACTATTGGCGGGAAAACGAAAAGGGACACATAGGTCCAGACGTGTCGGCTGTTATAGATTTATGAAAAGCGCACCTTAGTACTATAGTACTATTTTATAACCGGGCTACGTTTTATAGTTCTCATTAACTGTATATCTAACTTTCCAAAGGTCCAAAAGAAATACAATTTAAAAATATATTTCGAAAAATAAATAAATAATAACTAGTTTGTTGAACATTTATTAATAAACTTTAATTATTCATTTTCAATGCATTTTTTTCAAAGTTTTACCGTATGTTGGTTATAAGTTCAAGGGGCTTACATTTATTGAACCGTATCGGTGGTTACCTTCATTAAATGTTTTATGCTTAGGTGGGTGTTTTTTTCTGAATAATTTACAGTGTAAATTCTTTCATGTGATTCCATGTGTTCAGATTCCACGTCTCCCGATGTGTTACATATCCCATAATCTACCACTAGACCTAGGTCCCACTTGACGTCACATCAGCAAGGTACCCCATTGATTTAGCACTAGAACTGGGTCCCACTTTTACCTCATGCGACACGTAGGTTGGGTACCTTTTTTTATCTAACACTATATTTATTTAAGTCCTACTTCACGTTACACGACACATCAGTTGAGTACCCTCTCTAGGCCTTGGTCCCACTTTACGTTACACATCAGTTGGGTACACCCTCTAGATCTGGGTCCCACTTTACGTTACACATCAGTTGAGTACCCTCTCTAGGCCTTGGTCCCACTTTACGCTACACATCAGTTGGGTACCCCTCTAAACCTGGGTCTCACTTTACGTTACACATCAGTTGGGTACCCCCTCTAGACCTGGGTCCCACTGCATGCTACACATCAGTTGGGTACCCCCTCTAGACCTGGGTCCCACTGCATGCTACACATCAGTTGGGTACCCCCTCTAGACCTGGGTCCCACTTTACGCTACACATCAGTTGGGTACCCCCTCTAGACCTGGGTCCCACTGCATGCTACACATCAGTTGGGTACCCCCTCTAGACCTAGGTCGCACATTACGCTACACATCAGTTGAGTACCTACTTACCCTAGTCACACGTTTAACGGTTGTTCTATTACTCATCATTTAAACAAAAAAAAAAACACATCCAGTTTCATCGTCATGGATGGCTCTCCAGTTCACTTACCAGTAACTTTTTATTTCCAAGTACCAAAAACATATAATGCCATACATTTCAACCAGCTTGAGGTTAGCCTATAAGGTAGCCAACTATATCTTTCATATTAAAAGAAATGTAACCGAACGGATAATTTTCAATTAAACTGATACTCCGGCAATTACCTGGCTTAAATATCAAATCAATATATCACACGTGCCAGGTTGGCGTTTTAAGTATGAACCAAGGTACGCAACCGCTGACAAGAAATGTCAAGGACCTATGTCATATTAATAAATGCCTCTGTCAGTCGAACGAGTGTCTGCTGCTGCATATGGTCGCGGTGTGATCGACCAAGCATGACCTCTTCTACGGAGGTTTTTTTTTTAATTTATTATTTTATCGGAACTATACTTGGTGGATGGGTGGAGAGAGTGTAAGAGTATTGACGAACTTTTAACGTGAATAGGGATCGTGCAATATTATTACACAACATTGAAACATGATATTTTCATCCACTGCCAGTGGCGTCACTAGGTCGGGTGTCACACGGTGAGGTTACTGTCACCCCACCCCTTAAATAATTTTGCACTTTCGATCACCCCTCCCTATTTTATTATCTTAACTAATAAAACATTGTTTAAACTATATATTTTACAATTATTCGAATTGGTGTCACCCCCTAAATGGTGTCACCTGGTTTGGACGGCACCCCCACCCCTATTCATAATCCAGCCCGAGGCGCTACTGTCCTTTAACGTTACACAATATTTGCATAGACAAGCTCATACTATAGAGTTTTAGAAACTCCACCACCACCCCAAACCCCACTTGCTGTTACATCAATTGGTACAAGATCTTCGAAAGATTGAGATTTCAACAACAAGAAAGTATAAGCCAGGTGTTTCTTCGTCTCACGCAGCTATTCTAAATACCAGAAATATGCAAAAACGAAAAACATTAAAAATAAAAGTCTCACCCCAAAAATCCGGAAATAGATAAAGATCTATGACTAGAAGAAACTTGGATATTCACATACTTTAGTATTAGTTATTAAATGTACTACTTAAAATTTCGTGTATGGTTCAATAAAGGGTAAAAGACAATGGGGAGATTTGGTACAAACTTAGAACATTTAAAGCAATTTCAATAGTTTATCTACCCAAATTTTTAACACGATTTTACATGATGATACATGTAGAACACATTTATTTGCTAGTGTTGGTATATATATATATATATATATATATATATATATATATATATATATATATATATATATATATATATATATATATATATATATACATACATATATATATATATATATATATATATATATATATATATATATATATATATATATATATATATATATATATATATGTTTTATTCTATATGTAAATGTGTAACATGTACATGTGATATTGTGAATAGCTCGTACTATGTCCCATCATACGTAATATAACCATGTAAATACAGTTTGCTGGATGAAGAGGAACTGCTTTAACATTGCATGCTTACCATAATAACTGTAATAGAATGCAACATCTGTCGATCGTTCCGCGGAGTTCGGTCTCCGTGAAACGCAAGGCGCGGCTCATATATAACGGAATCAATTATTTTTTTTCCGGCTTTGTTGTCCGCGGTTGTGCTCAAGTACGGAATTTGAAATAATTATTCCAACAGGATAATCGATACATCACAAACTACTTTCTCCTTCATGGTATCGACTAGGCAAATAATTTAATAGCGTGTGCACAGCAAACTTGCCTAACTGAAGGACTTTCTGTGCTGGGTATTCAGCTGTAAAACTGGCGGTTTTCAAGAGCGATTAGTACGAACACACCGCAGTAAAGGGAGATAACGTTATTACGTCGGAGTTGTCTAACCTGCTTTATTGTTGCTAGGAAGTTAAATTCGAGAAAATTGTAAAAAAAATTAAAATCGTTAAAATTTTAAACGGAATAATTTGTGGAATTTATTCGATGTTAACCCAATCTACCTGATATTAGAACCTAAGAAAAACTAACTGCAAACCTAACACACATAAAAAACTGTGTGCATTCTCCCTGTAACTAAATGGTAGGCTATTATCGTAAAGTCTTCAATGGTCGATACGCCAATAACGCTAGGCAATATAGAAAGTACACAAGGCCGTAAAGAGTTGTAACATATTGTACTCTCAGTTTACTTAACACACAATTTCTGTTAAACGTGGGGCCTAGATAACATCATACATAGAATCAGTTTATGGGTGGTGTATGAATAATGGGGGTAACAGGGAGGAAGGAGTCCAACTTTTGCAATGATGTGCATGCAGCGTTGAAGGAGTGTAAACAAATGTTATGTAGCATATATACATATATATATATATATATATATATATATATATATATATATATATATATATATATATATATATATATATATATATATATATATATATATAATTCTAACATATATAATTAGTTCATTTTTCTTTCTGTTTTTTTTTAAGATTCTCCAGTTTACTACATCCATAACTTTTGTTTTACATTGTAAAACAAAAGTTTTGAAGGAATTTCAAATGAAATATAAAATTCTCGATTTCAAACCCTCTGGCAGATAAGGCTCGATCCCTTCCAACACTAAAAATTAAGAACGAAGAAGAAGAAGAAAATGAAATATAAAGTGGTTTTATAATGGATCGTAGACATATGTAATAATTTGGAGTGGATAGCGGTGGTTCGTTATTTTCTTAAATTGTAAAAAATTGTGGTATACATTTTATAATGACATTAACTTTTGTTCACCCCCCCCCCCCCCCCCCCGCCATTCTTTTTTGCTATTGTTTTTATTTTTACTGGTTTTTTTTTCTTTTTTACAATTGAATATAGATCTACGGCTTGGCGATGCTTTTAGTTGACATGAGTTTAACGAAAATAATGAAGGCTTAATTCCGCATATAATAGGGTGGAGGTCTTTATATATATATATATATATAAAGAGGTGCAAGAGGGTTTTAAAAAGTATGTCCTAAATTTTCTGTGATAGGTCTAAGATACATTCGCGATTACTCATTAGAAATGCATACATAATGTATTAGAATCTACTATATTATATTATATAATCTATTATAATCTATTCAGACAAAGAAACACAAGCTATAGACACACACATTTAACAGCAACTGAAGACACATGGTAGCGAAAATCCAATTACTTTAAAAGAATAGGCCTACTTACAGGTTAGCGTTTTTAAAAATCCATCTGTTTCATCGCACGGTACACATAAGAATGGGCCATTTAAATAATTTTATTTGTGTCGTCTGCTGTTACGCGTGCTGTTAAGCCCAACAGGTGTAATTAATTAATCAATAGACTACTATGTAGCTGGTTCAGTTGGTGTATGTTGTGGGGAAAAAAGACCAACGCTACGAATTGTCGATTTCTTTTTTTTAATCCATTCATAGTTTTATCTTTGTACTTTGGACTGGTTTGCTTTTCTTTTATACTAACAAATCCACCATTTTCTTTCTATTTTTAGCTTTTAAAAAAAAAAATGTTAGATTTAGGCTTGAAAGGGATGTCATATGAACTTTGACCTAAATGCTATGTAAATATTGAATGCGTGGTCCGCGCATGCGGGGTTGAAGTTGAGACCGACAAAAACCAATTTGATACAGTTGATTAGTCTGGTCACGGTCAAGGCTACGTGGTAGTTATTTTTAGATATTTTTTCGACTTCAAATTTCAACATAGGATTTAGATGTAGAATCTAGATCTCTACTCTACATTTTTTAAAAACTGTACAGAGTATTTGTTTTTAACAATAAGGTGTTTTAAAAGCAAATACATTATATAGAGGCGTCTTCAGGTAAATAAACACTGGCGCATGACTGCATATTTCATGAAAACGACACACCGAGGAGGGGGGGGGGGGGCACACTTAAGGAGCGATTTGTTACAAAGATGACTAGGGGGTATATATGGCCTATATATATGCCACGGAATAAAATTTCTTGCTCTTCAGAGATTTTTTTAAAAATGTAACCACACTTGAAAACGTAGGCTGGCACATCATGTACCACATGACCACCACCTACTTTCTAGATATTACTGGAATGCTTATACTAAGAGTAGGGAGCTTTAGTCCTGAAAGACTACAGACGTATTTTGCTCACTCTTTCATACATTGTTGGTTGAAGTTTCTCTTTAATAATGTAAGCCTACATAAGCAAATAATTACATCTATGTTTATGGAATGTGAAAAATCATAAGCTCTAAAAAAATTGCAGGCTGTAATTTACTGTAAAAAAATAAAAACAAGACAGAAGAGAACTTCAATAGACTTTATTACAAGAACTTTAATAAAGCCCCAAGTCACAAGACAGGATGGAATGATTTCATGAAGTAAAGCATGGTCTATTACTCATTGAATGAAACAGATGGAATGATTTTCATGAAGTAAAGCAGGGTCTATTACTAAATGAATGAAACATGGAATGATTTCATGTAGTAAAGCATGGTCTATTACTCATTGAATGAAACAGATGGAATGATTTTCATGAAGTAAAGCAGGGTCTAACTATTACTCAATAAATGAAACAGATGGAATGATTTCATGAAGTAAAGCATGGTCTATTACTCAATAAATGAAACAGATGGAATGATTTCATGAAGTAAAGCATGGTCTATTACTCAAATAGATGGAATGATTCATGAAGTAAAAACATTGTCTATTACTAAGTGAATGAAATAGATGGAATGATTTTCACTATGTAAATTATGGTCTAAAATGTACTAAATAAAACTGAGATGCATGTAAATGCAAAACAAAAGTAAACTTTTAAAAACACACAGGTATAAATATGTACCAGTACAAAAGTAAACTAGATTCAGATGTTTGTTTATATAATGGACAACTTTCTAATGTTAAATTAATAAATGCTGTTGTAATTTATTAGCGATCTTGCACAAATGAAAATTACATCAATGAAAGATAAATATACAATCTATGTAACAATTAGATGTATAGTGTATTTCTTACAGATGCCAAATCAGTCCTGCAATCCCTACAAAATCCGGAGTCCTATATTCAAACACTCATGACAGCACTAGAGAGGCTAAAAAATACCTGCAGCAGAATTGTGCTGCAGTGGATCCCGGGCCACTGCCAGATCCAGGGTAACGAGATCGCAGACCAGCTGGCAAAAATTGGGGGAAAGAAACCACAACCGGAAATTTCGCTACACCCAAAAGAAATAAAAAGAATAATTAAACACAAACAAACGCAAATGTGGTCTGTCACACACCCTCACTACATTAAAGACGACGGCTATTACAATTTAACACGAAAACAACAATACATAATCTTTCGACTTAGAACAGGCCACAACAGACTAAATCAACACATGCACAAAAAACTGAAGGTTGGGTGTAGCGAAATGTGCCCTTGTGGCAAGGCCCCGGAAAACACGGAGCACGTACTCCAGGATTGTACTCTGTATAGCCAGGCAAGAGGCAGACACTGGCCCCAGCCCACCCCACTCAGGGAAAAATTATATGGGACACCTGACAAACTGGAAACCACAGTCCGGTTTGTCCATGAAGTTGGACTTGTTGTCTGAATCCTCCACCATATTCAAAAATTAAGAACGAAGAAGAAGAAGAAGAAGATGTATAGTTTGTAGAACCAAGGTGGTATAACACAAATATTGAGAACAAAAACATTACAGTTTGGGTTGAGTTGCTTCTGTATCAGATGAGGAAAAAAATTTCTTACTTTATTTTGGTTGTTAAATGAACATGCCTTATGGGAGTGTGATTATACTCATTTTATTTTTAAAGGCTGCTTGGAGTTTACAGTGATGGTCAGTATTGGGCTGTTTTCACGCGAAATAAATTATATCTACATTAACAAGATGGTCCTATATTCCTATTCAGTGGTCTATAAAATAGTGAAAAAAAACTTAAATATTCACAACATAACCAAATTTTTAAAAAATTATGTTTGGTTAAAAAATGTACATGATAGTTTAAACCTATCAATATAAATCTATCTTCATTGGGCTTCATCAAGTTATAAATAATTAGATTCTGAAATCAATTCTGGGATAAAATATTTCACAAATTAACAAGTGTATAGTCATTATCAATCAGTGTTTAACATTAACCTTTCAACAATAAAAAACAAATCTCTTACTAAAAATATATACATTTCTAACTATATTCAAAATATTCAGCAATGTCAGAAATAACACATTTACAATGATAGCTTTTGATTAAATACCATTGTCCATCGACAATGTATTGTTAACAGCAGCAGGTCTTTAAATCAACATTATAACTAAAGCCAAATTATATCTGGAATGGAAACCGTTTTGTGTCAAAAAGAATGGCAGTTGTAACTTTAAATCATATATGTCTCATTATAAAGTTATCACAGTTTAACAGCATACCTTCTAAACATGCTTTAATAAAATTCTATTATTCTAAAACCACAACAATGTTGAAAAACTGTACTTTGAACAAAAATTTAAAGATTTTTTGAAAAACTAATTTTAAGGCCCTGCAGATCTAGATCTTTTTTTGTGAAATGAACTTTAAGCACCAGCAAATCTAGAGAGCAAAAAGTTATTTTAAAAATGGAACAGTTGACAAAAAATGCTGTTATAAACACAACCATGACATACAAAATATATTGCATTCTTTAAGCATGCAAAAAATAATTTTAAACAATACCTGACTGATACAAGACTATAAAACATTGCTTATAAAAAGTAATTTTTACAAAAATTTAAAGTAGAAATTTTTTTTTTACAAAATCCTTCCAAATAGAGTACCAATGGTAATGAAGAGGACAAATAAAATTATTTCCTCTTTAAAACACAGATCTGAAAAATACTTTTCACTTCTTCTGATGACACGATAAAACTCCAAAGCTGGGATAATGATGTGCAAGACATCAGGTATCATGAGCCCAATATTGCGAGCATTCTGGAAATTTGTGCCACGACCTTCGATAACATGGGCGATAAATTGATCAGATCCTGATACTATGATGTGCACAAGATTTATGGCCAATATCACCATCAGCTTCCAAGTTTTCACCTAAATTAATCACAAGATAGACGTTTGTTGATAAAATGACATTAAATTAAGCAAATGAAATTTGATTTTTCAAAAAATATTTCAAAACATTATAAAAACTTAATTCTTAAAGTGCTTTAACAACTGTAACAACATCATTAAACAGGGGTTGGCCAAATTTTTAGAAAAAAGACCATTTTATAAAATTTAATTGATATATATATATATATATATATATATATATATATTCAATTAAATTGGCACTCTAATCCTAAAGCAAAATTTACAAGGAGAGCAAAGTTTTATATTTCTTTCCGTATCAGGTACAATTAGCTAATTTGGAGGAGTTATTTATTTATTAAAAAGTTGGGACTCTGATAAACAGAATTGCAAAGTTTCAATAGAATTTAGAAAATGCATAATTTACAACGTTTCAGCTATATGGTGACAAATTTCGCTGAACAATGTCAAACACTTTTGTTATATTTTACGTTGCAGCAACTGGAGCATCGAACTTAAGGGCCATAAAAATACAAATTTAAGTTTATATTTAAGACTTCCTCAAATATGAAGAAAAGAATACTTTATCGCAGATATACTTGCCTCATTGTTTTTGTTGCAGAGGTTAAGCACTATAGCAGTTGTGAAGATCTCAGTCACACAGAAAAACATGTGGTGAGTAAAAAATGTGTAGAACTCTTCATTGTAGTAGCTGTAGAAAAATAAATTTACTATAAGAATTAGTACATCACTGTATTTTTTAATAAAATACAAATGTCAAGTAATATACATTCTAATTTCAATAAGTAATTAGTATTGTACTTCTTGAAATATCACAACTAGAATTTTCAAATTTAAAAAAAAACTGTTACCTCAGATAACTTAACTTTATTATAATTTTTTTTAAAAACAAACAGGAAATGTTATTATGTTATAAAATTGTCCAAAATGTGTTACAAAAGTTTACAATGTACCTGAAAAAACTCCACCAAGAGTAATAATGAGGATAGAGATTGATAATATACAAGGATAGCCAGATTTTCCTGAAACTTGATGTCCGATACACAGACACTAGGTATTTAATGCTTTCATAAAACAAGATGAAAAACACTATTGTGGTAACCCATATCTTGAAGGTGTTGACAGTGGCATTGAAATAAACATGTTTGTATGTCACTAGCCCAGGCATTTCATAACGACCTGAATGAAAATTAAAAATGCAATTAAGAGTGATTAAAAGTGCAAGTCACTAAACAAAAGTATTTAAATCTACATTTAGTTTAAATGGGAGAAAACATTAAATTATTTAAAAAAACCTACCTCTAAAGACAGTGTCAAAACATGAGCAAGTGCAAGCTCGTTTGTCAATAGGTGGTTTATCTGGAACCCAGATTTTCAGGTAGAAAACACCTGAAAGAAAAACAATGCTGTATTAAACTGTTATGTTATTAACAGAACAAATCCTTTTAATATAATACAGCTTTGGTTTAGATTTGAATATTAAAAAAATTTTAACATGCAATTTCCATGGAATACTTAAATGGTTATCATGAGACCACAAATCTTGCACAGAAAAGGACACTTACCAATATGCAAGTATGGCATAAAAATTAGAAAAAGAGCAGCCAAGGTGACTCCGATAAACTTGTCACAGAACCTGTAATCTTTGGCCACATAATGAACCTCAGTTAGCCTGCGCTCAACATAGTCTTGCATGCTGGGATATCTTATAACAGTAGCTGAAGGTCGATATTTTTTGTTATCACTGTATCATGAGAAGAAAAAAAAACAGTTAACTTACAAATGACATAAATTTAGAGTTAAATATATAATAAAGGACCTATTCATATTTTTAAATCATGCAGTGGGGCCTATAGACTAATCCATTTAAGTTAGCCCTCAATCTTGCATTTATTGGTCTTAGTTTTGTTTTGTTGTCACTATAGACCTGTCTTGAGTACATCAAGCTTTGCACTCATATTTTGCATATAAAAAAAGGGATTGATGAATGTTATTACATACCCTCTTTCATCAAAGTCTGGCAGCAATTTTTTCATCAAACGATTGTAGAATGCATCCATTTGAATCCAACATTAGGCATATCTTTGAACTGTTTGAATTGAAAACCTGTAATTAATCAAATTAAGGTAAAATAGGGCCTAATTAGTATGTATTTGATGAGATATTGGTTAAACTCTACCTGAAACTACACATGTAATTTTCATGAGTTGTCAGCCTACTGGGGTCGGCGTGGTCGAGTCGGTAAAAGCTCATGGTTGCTAAACTGAAAAGTCTCGAGTTCGAACCCTCGGGCAGATGAGGCTCGTTAGCTGGGGACAGCCACTCTTCTAGGAGAGACAACTCCAAAATTAAACAACTGCTGCCTTGTAGTTTGTTCTTGGTTGGACAAAGGCTATGGAAGCAAATCCAAAAAGAAAAGCAGGCTGAAATCGGAGTCAATGGCCTCAATGGCGCATAACCAGTTGACACGTAACGCTTAATTGTGTTGGAGGCGTGGTCGAGTCGGCAAAAAAGTTCTGGTTGATAAATTCGAACAAAGTCTCGAGTTCAAACCCACTGGCAGATAAATCTCGATCCCCTTCAACACTAATAATTAAGAACGAAGAAGAAGAAGTCAGCCTACTACTACTTGAAATTACATCTTAAATTATTTAACTTTACTTGCCTTATATAAATATTAACTAGATCTATAGGCCTAATTATTAACTGTAAATTATAAATAAAGGCCTATTTCTATTTTAATTTATAGCCTAATTTTAATGACATTATGGTTTTTTGTGGGACTTCACTGACTAGCAGTTTGTGTGCCTACATTTCCTGTTTAGTGATTTTTAGTAATGATATTCCACTCCCACCCTACAGAGATGTTATAAACATGAAGTACTTAAGGTCTGGTGACATAAATGGTTAAAATTAAACAAGAAGTTGGGTTGACTATAACTAGATATATATAGATGATGAGATGTGTGTTACATTTGACTTTCAGACTTTAACCCTGCTCTGGTACCATGGGGTCTATATGACCCCAGCCATTTTTAGAGCAATTTATTTTGAAAACTACCAAGATTAGTGACCTCACTTGCCATGTATTTTTTCATAAGGCCTTCCTAAGTGCGTTACACATGTTTGATACTTTCAAAGTTCAAAGTATTACAGTACTGGTTATTTATTATTTAGATTTTTGTTCGCTTGGGGTCATATAGACCCCATAGTACCATCAATGTGATAAAGATATTTTCCCCTAAATATCATCCCAAACAGCAAGCACCACATATTCATCCAGGACTATGCTAGAGAGTGTTACATGTGTCCCAGATCATGTGACAAGCAAAGCAAACTAGTCTGAAACGACATTAATCATACAAAGCTAGATCTAGCACACAATCAATGCCAGCAATAGCAATTTCATTCAATTTGCATACAGTGGTTAAAATAACAAAAATGTGCTCATACTCATGGAACTGTGCAATATTTATTTGGACCTACTATTACTAACACATTGTCACCTCTTATTAGGTCAAGGTAAACAATAGATCTAGAAATCTAATCTAGATTTAGATTTTCTGTATTTCTTTTATTAGTAGATCTAGAATCTAGATCTAGTAGATTTTGAGTAGATTAAGATTTAAGAAGATTTTCTAGAAAAGACGGAAATGATGAGAATTAACAATAAACAGGAGGCTCCAGTGACAATAGACGGAAGACAGGTAAATGATGTGCCAGAGTTTGTCTACCTTGGCAGCAAGATCAGCAAAACGGGAGGCACAGAGGAGGACGTACGCGCTAGAGTTAATAGAGCCCGCTGCGCTTTCACAGTCCTGCGACCCATATGGAAAAGTTCGGCCATCTCCATTACCACAAAAATTAGGATATTTAACTCTAATGTCAAGGCAGTTCTGCTGTACGGAGCAGAGACATGGAGAGTCTCCAAGGCAAGCTTAGCAAAGATACAGACCTTCATGAATAGATGCCTTAGACAGATACTGAAACTGATATGGCAGGACAAAGTGCCGAGGATCGAACTTGGAACTATGGAGGAAAGCTAGGCAGGAGCCTATACATGTGCAAATAAGAAGGAGGAAGTGGCGCTGGGTGGATCACACACTGCGAAAGGCTCACACACACAAATGTTTTTATGTTACACACCAAGCGCTTGAGTGGAACCCCCAGGGAAAGTGGAAGAGAGGGCGCCCAAGACAGACCTGGAGGCGGAGTCTTCTTGAAGAACTGAAGCCAACAGGGATGTCTTGGGAGATATCAAAATTAATAGCCGAGGATAGGAAGAAATGGAAGGAAATGGTGGAGGCCCTATGCTCCATCCATAAGGAGCAAAGAGGACTAGATCTAAGTCAAGTCAAGAACTAGATCTAGAACTAGTCTATCGAAACCCCATGCTATCCTCTACCAAATAAAATCTAGAGGTCAATCTAATATAAACTATGGATTAAAATAAAATTATGTTAAACTGCTAAATAGTGTTAAATATTACGTCTGAAAACGAAAGTTTGATGCAATGTAATTGACTTTCACTTTCTAGACTAGATCTTGTTCAAGAGTTTAGGCTAGCTTCTAATTTTTCAAAATTTGCATACCATAATTTTTAGAAGTCAGAAGAGTAATTAATTATTTCTTTGTCCGACAATTTTATTGGAGAGCAGTTATATGTAGTTCTATGTTCATTATCCCTAATGGTAAATATACATGTATAAGTTTCAATACTTATGCTTTAACTGAGTTTATATAAAAATCGTCATAATGTTCTAAAATCTACATATGACAATAATATTTTAACCGTAAAATAAGTTTGCGATTTTACAAACTGGCACAATTAAATAATGACCGGCATATCCTATCATTAGTGCCCAAAATAAAATATAGTTATGATTATAATTTGCATACCGTATAAACACAATTTCAAATATTATATATAAACTAACTAGTTCGTGCGCCACATATTATCTGATTGGTAAAGTTGAACATATTTACAAGGTCTTTTTGTCAGACATTAAGAAATATGTAAGACGTGTATTTTTAATGACTATCAAATACACATTCCACTAGAGTAGTATTAACTTTTGAGCGATTTCCGATAACCGGATTTGGTAATTACTCTAATTCACGTTTTTTAAAAGCCAATTAGCTGAGTACTGCTTGTAATATACATACGACATTTCACAATATAAGTATTAGATTGTATGCGCCAGTTTAATTAGCTTTTGTACGATTTCCGCCAACCGGGAGTGGTAGTTGACTCTATTACTTGGGAAGAAGATAACTTCTGGAAGGAAGGGTTGTAGAGTTGATTCAGAAGAGAGAGAGAGAGAGAGAGAGAGAGAGGGGGGGGGGTGAAGAGACGGCTGAAAGAAACACTGCTTTTAAACCAAACTGGTTTAGTTAAATGCTTGGACGTATTTATATACTTTAGTGGAGGGTTAAAAATAAACGTACTTGGACAAGAGTTGAAGAACGAAGCCTAAACAACAAAAGTACCTGTTAGTCATGAAACAGATTTTTTTTAACAAACTGACTGAAAATTTAAATTTGAACAACTTTCGATAACCGGAAGGCGTATTTATCTCTATTCCCTGTTCTCATAAGCATTTTCTAAGAATGTTTTCTTTATCTGTGTTTTCTAAAAAAAAAATGAGTGGTTTTCCCACAAACTTCTTTTGCCCGACGACTCCACTCATACAAATTATATATTTATATATTGTTAGACAAAGGACAATATATTTTATTTTAAAATATATTAATTTTATAGTTTGCTTATTCTTTTTTTTTCAGAGTAACTAACCACTCAGAAATTAACCTCTTTTTTTTTTTTTTTTTTTTTTTTTTTTTTTTTTTTTTTTTTTTTTTGGCCTGCTGGAACTCAGTAACACAATTTCGTTTTGAATAATAAAATTACCCAGTGTAAAATTACAATTAAATTAACGTTAGAACATTTTTTTCTTGTATAAAGGTGATGTTTATAATTACTTAATCGAACACAAAACCAATGCATTAAGGCGGTGTTTCATACCATGTGTTCAAACACACCCCAAAGGTTCGCCGATTTGGTCTCAGAAGTTCGGCGGAGGTCAAGACACACACCCGACTCAAATGATTTGCCATCGGATTTCGTCAGTGCGGACGATAGAACTTACAGCCGCGGCGATGACAGTTCAAATACGACAACGTGACATAGTAATAAAGTGTGCCATAACGAGATATAATAGGTATCGTTGTCGTGATACTTCTATATCGTGGAACCCTTGACGTTACATTACACATGCTTCACGAATTTTGTCAACGCCACCTATACAGGCGGCCGCTGAGCGTGTATATACATTATGTGACGAATATAATTTTTTACATATATCCTAGCCCAGTTGTCGAGTTATGACTGTCATGATTATACGCCGTGTGATTTCTTTCATAATATTTTAATACATTTAGACTTAAAATCTCGAGTTTAAAAGAAGGAAGTAGTCTGGCGAATACGCAGAGGCGTAGCGACCCTTCCCGGCGCCCGGGGACAAACTTTCGATTGTAACCCCCCCCCCCCCCCCAAACTGTCGATTTGCCCTTCCCCCCTCAAACTTTTGATTTGCACCCCCCCCCCCCAAACTTTCGATTACTTTTTCCAATCCATTTTGGCGCCTCCTAAGGTCGGCGCCCGGGGATATATGTCCCCCCTGCCCCACCCCCCCCCCCACCCCCCATCGCTACGCCTCTGCGAATATGTACAATATGGATTCACATGAACAACGGAACTTGACGGGAGTCAGCGCCCTAGCTGCATGATTTGATAAAAGAACACTGCCTTTAGTTGCATGTGAGATTGAAAATAGTACAACACAGCGCTCGTAGAATTCAAGGCAACAGCATAAGTCACACTTATTTGCAGTAGATAGGCATTCATTATTATGTTTTTGTTTTTGTGTAAAACATATGTTAATGGTTTTTTTTTTGTTGTAAGTTGTAATAATAAAATATGTATCATTCGTATATTTTAAATCTGCAGATTCAGAAATACATGTTAATTGTGATTGAATTGTTAAAATGTTAAGGTGTTTAGACTTAAGTACTTCTAATTAACTCATTCACTAATCATAGACGCAAAGAGACAACCTAACAGGTGGCCTAAAATATTTTTGGCACCGTTCTACCGGAAGTCGACCTTTCAAAAATGGCGGTGATGTTCTAGGATAAGGCACCGTTTTCACAATAGTCATTCTAATTATTATCACATCTTAATTGTTTTAATTAAATCATATTAAAATGTTCAAACGAAAGCAAGACGTGGATAAGCATGTTGCTTCGGTGCTGGCTAGAAAAAGAGACGAAAAAGAGGTAAGCAGTGAGACTAATTAGTAATTAGTTGGGTAGTTAGATGGGGAACCGCAGAACGAACGGTGTGACATTTCTTCTCATTTTTTTTTGGAGCAGAAAAATTGATATCTCGTGGTCTAGAATCTTGTAGATTGTTGGTCTAAATATTCGGTAAAACTCCATTTTATCGTATTTTATTCCCCGCTTCACGTTCACTTCCAGTTGAGCGTATTTTATTATAACCACAACCGACAAAAACGTAGGAAATCACTCGGACTATTTCTTTATGAATTTTTGGTTTAGTTTTTAACTTAATTTTGTCTTCTTGAGAAAAATTAAAATTTGGAATATTGCTGTGTACTTCTTAAGACACTTAGAATCTAGTTAAAATCTAAAACTAGTCACCCTAGTCTAGATTTAGCCTTATTTTTCTTGAAAATGTGATAGAGGAGAATCTAGAGGAGTTTACACTTTTCGGACACACACCAAAAATTACGTAGGAGCGAACACTTCGTCGGTTTTTGGCTCATAGAAACTTTAATTAGCATGTCTCACGCGAAACCACGGCGCCTGCACGTAAACTGTTCATTTATGAACACTTCCGTGTCAAGTACTTCCGTTTCCTTTCTCAAGAATTATTTTTAGAAATTTTTTAACGTTGCATGGTACGCACATTTCTATTTTTACACCAGCCGGATGAAGTGACCTAGGGTTGGACTTAGGGGCAAAACTTAAACCAATCAATGCTTAGCTAAAAGGTTACACTATAAATAGCTTCTATATATGTATGGAACATCGTAAATGTCAAGGTTAATGGGTTTTTTTGTGCTTGAACAATAAAAAAGGGGTGTTCGCTAACTTATTTGGCCTTACATGGGAGCGGACAGCAACACAAAAATATTACTAAATAAGAATTTAGAGCATAAAAGGGGCTGGTTATTGAAGGGAAAGGGTCAAAATAAGGTCAAGAAGGCAGTGGAATGCGAAAGAGGAGGGGGAATCATGTGACCTGGCTGGCTTAGCAGCGTACTGCGCGAGCCGCAATGGCTGAATGGGATGAACTTTGGGAGTGTGGGAAAAAGGTTTTATACTATTAAAATTACCTCACAAACAATCAATAACACAATATACATGCATATAATATATGTTTTTATTCATTAAATTGACTTTAAATTATTCTAAATGAACAAAAAGTGCAATGTCTGATGACGGGTAAAGGTGTCCGAACACATGTAAAACTGTATTACATGTGTTCGAACACACGTTAAGACCCCCCAGTCACTATAACAAGAATAGCTTAAGTTCTATGCGTATGAATACAAAATGACACACACATTATTAAAGTAGAATGGTTGCGGATAGATATGATACTTTTTTTTGTTTTCTATGTTAAGCGGTTACTGAATGAGACCGCATGGAATTTTTACGTTGCGTTTTTTCGCTATGTGTGTCCGAAAAGTGTAAGCTCCTCTAGTGTCTAGTGACTCTAGTGTCTCTCGTGAATCACCCATCAAAGCTAGATAGTAGATGGACATTCTTCGGGCTTGTGCACTACCTGAGTTGCCTTTCATTTTAACAGTCATGCTCTTCATACAGACAATGTTATGTCATATCAGTATCAAAACTTCATTATATTAGCATTATTATTAGGCCTAATGAAAGTAATATTTCATCACTTTTAGGGATTTCATGATATTTGCAATAGTTTCTTTCATCTCAGAAATTTATACCCAACCCCTTACAATGCCATTAACATTCAAAATCCAGCATTCTATAAATTACCTGTAATGGGCAAGCAAGGTACTAAATTAATCATTTTTATATATTGCCTAAGCATTCTATAGCAATCCTAACAGGGAAGTCAGCAAAATGTTGAATAGGCTTATCAGAAATTATCTTATTTATTTTTCTCTCATACCACCATACTCTCATATTCAAACCCTTCTTAATAGTGTTGTCCCCAATAACAAAATTAAGATCATGAATTATATCAGTCACCGAATCCCTAGGGTTTGATAGAACCCAGGTCAAGAACCACTGTTCTAAAGTTAAGCCTAGGTTTAAATTGTATAAGCTAATAACCTAATCATTAAGAATAAAAAAATTTAATATTGATCAGTAGTCTGCATAGTTAGTCTGGGTTGCTCAGATTCTTATTTTTTAATATGTTTTGTGACTTCATTGCAGAGAAATGCTGCAGGTTTTCAGGTGGCAAGGCTGTACTCAGAAATAAAAGAATATGACATAGCAAAAAAGTAAGTCATAATTTACAACCTATTAGTAGAAAATACTCTGGTTTTGAATATTTCCCATATATATATTCATGTTATTAAAACACAATCATTCACAATAGGGTGCAGTTTAAAAAGTGTATCTAAACACGTAGCTTTAACTAATGCTTATTTATTGTAAGTGTTCATGTTAGTTTCCTGTTTAGATAAATAAAGAAACTTATATTTCTTTTATCAAGGTTTTTAGAAATGTTATTGTTAGTGTTCTTGTAAAAAAAAAAAAAAAATAGAATTCTTTTCTACTCTTTAACTTAATAAAAGTTCATTACAGCGTTATTATTCTTAATACATCTTTCTATCATTAGATACCTAGCTGGGTTTCTTAAAGTGCGAGAAACTGCTCCACAAGCTCACCAGCTAATGGGAGAGATAAATGAGGCCCTTGGTCTTAAAGAGTTGGCTATTGACGACTACAAAAGGTATATTGGCAACTAGAATACCCGTCATCCGTTGGATAACTGTGGGTTTCGGGGGTCATCCATCAAAAAACATCACGTCTGTCACTCAGAGGCATAGCGACCCTTCCCGGCGCCCGGGGACAAAGTTTTCGATTTGAACCCCCCCCCCCCCCCCCCCTCAAACTTTTGATGTGCACCCCCCCCCCCCACTCAAACTTTCGATTTGAACCCCCCTCAACCTATCAATTTATTTTTCCAAACCATTTTGGCGCCCCAACATATGTCCCCCCCCTTCCCCCCTCCACCTCCCCACCCCCCTCCCCCCCCCCCCCCCCCCCCCCCCCCCCCGCCTCCCCTCCCCACCCCCTCAGACAACATGTTTTTATCGTTTAAAAAACAATTCCAGCCGAGCATGTATCTGACCACACTATCCTTTCATATGCTTAGGACAAAGAAACAGATGAACTCTACTTCACCTGCCCTGTATCTTGCCAAGTTCAGATAGGCAACGTTATCATTCACATCTAAAAAAAAAAAATTGAAAAAAAAAATTTCATTGACATATTGGTCTAGAACCCGTGCCTCCTGCATGAGAGCTGACTACGCTACCATTTTAGCTATTTACTCGTGACGTCACAAGTGAATTTTTATACTATACTATGTGTCTCCTTATGCAACTTGATTTACGCGTATAGATTCTAGATCTAGATCTAAAAATAAGTCTAGTAGTACTAACTTTCAAATTAAATTTTATCTTAAATAAGCCAAACAAAGATTTATATAAAATAATTAAGGCCTGAAATAGATTCTAGATGTAGAATTTACATTGAATCTAGTGACCTACATCTAGGCTAGATCTAGATCTAGGCTAGATTCATAAATTTCCTTCGATAGCTGATCTTTAGATCTAGAGAAATTTATCGTAAAACTAAATGAAAAAGACAGTTGAAAATTGATATAAGTGTTGGAACGTAATAAATACAGCAAACGGACGTATTGTTAAAGTTATGACCGACAGAAAATTAGATTTAGAACGCGTTAAACTTTTGAATGGGAACACAATTTTCTTCAATAGACGCCGCCATTTTATTGTACTAAAGAGTAAACAAAAACCTGTGACGTCACTATTCCCACAAAGTTTAGTCAAGGTTTTAACATTTTAAAAAAAAATGGGTTATTCTGCGTAGGAATAAATCAATAAATTAATTAACGTCTTTAAATAAATTTGTGATCAACAGTCTGTCTGCATTAAAAAATTATTCTCTACCTGCATACCATTTTACAGCTTTCCAGATAGAGTCGAACATATCACAATTTTCGATCAGGCAAACAAATAAATATTCAAACATGTAAACAAACTTGACTTTTAGTAGTATATAGATGTCACAAGTATATTTTATACTCAGCTTTATAAATATTATAATGCAATGTAAACAATTACAATCCTGAATATTTTTTACGTTCTTATTTTTACACAACCTATCTGTTGCAATTTTTAAATATTTTGGCTTTAACATTACATGACTGTAACTGTTATCAGCATTGAAGAAGTAATTTAAGAACCATTTAAAAAGTTACAGTTAAAAGATTTACAGAAAAATCCTTTAATTCTATAAAGTGATTGTGTTTTCTACATTTATTTCAGAGCTTTAGATCTTGGTGGCTTTGGAAGTGCAAATCGACAACTGGTGAAAAAGAGTAAGAATGGCTTTTATTTAGTGCTTACAGTAGTATAACCAGTATTTAGCTACAACTATTTTTTAATATAGTTGCTGGTGGGTGCTGTTTAAAAAAAAGTTAAATCTGCATGTCTTAAACTGAAATATTTCATCTTTATTACTGAATACTGAATGTGTCACTGTTTACTCTTTCATCTAGTCTGTGAGTTGTATTGTGATATTGGAAATGATGAACAAAGAATGAAGGTATTTGATGTTTATTATATTTTAAGTATTTTTTGTACTTGTGTAATCATAAAAGATGAAGCAGATTTTTTTTTAACCTGTGTTAACTCTGACTCAAAGTAAAGGTTCATTTTTTAGCTTCATAATTGTCTCCACGTGTACATTTTATATCACCTTTTCTACTGTGCTAAGTGTAGAATAAAAATATGAAATAATGGTGCGATTAAAATGTTTATATGTTTGTTGCATTTTGTTTTATCTACTTTCTCTTTAAGTATTGGTTGGACAAGTGTGAAGGTCTGTTCCCAAAGAGTGAAATTGTTTACAAGCTGAAGGTACTATAATTAGTTCAATTTTTAACATTTTCACTATATCCTCTTAATATTTTTTAATGATATCATTATGTTTTTCAAATTTATTTTTATTTCCATGTTTAAAAAAGATCAAGGTGCATTGCAGTTGGTAGATGCACCAGCCTGTATATAACTTTACCATTTTTTTGTTGAATACATTTTGTGTTTAACTTAACTTGTGTTACATTTTTGCAGGCAAAAATAGCTGAAGCTAATGGACATAGTGAGGATAACAGTAAAGAAATGGAGAATCTTGTTATCTCTGAACTGGTAAGGCTTAACATCATAACTGATATTTTTTAACATCTGGTGTGTGAGAAAAATGCCAAAGTAAACTAGTTTTAATATAACAAAGCTATTTATCACCGTATTAACCAGATAATATTGCAGTCTGATTAACTTTTTGTGTTAACTACAACTTGCATAGAATGAGCGGCCAGCTGATGTGACACTCAGAATAAAACTTCTGAACATTTACTTGGATTCAGGAAGGTTTGAAGAAGCATATGAGGCAGCAGTCGGCACAGATCTTACCACAGCTTTTGTTGATAGACTTCAGTGGTTTGAAACCCTGGATTCTGTGTTTCAAGTAAGCAGGTTGATTTTAAAAAGGACATGTTTTAAACAGCAAAGAAGAATCATCTAATAAATTTATTAATTTTATGAACTTTTTAAATAATGAAAGGCAATATATCTTGATAGATTTTTTAAATTCAAACACTTTTTTGTCTAGGAATTTGGGAAGAAAAATAAAGATACAGAAACAGATACAACCTACAATTTACATCTGTTACATATTTTAAGAAATGTGACATACTTAAGTCTAGGAGCAAAGGAAATAGCTGAATGTTCAATTGCACTCTACAGGTATACATTTTTTTATCATATAGCTGTAAGTAAAATTATGTACCGTTAAGGCAAATTAGACATTTTTGTAGTTTTTGTGGCCAAATCAAAGTCTATTTAATTACTCTGGAATACTCAGGATATTTATAAAACCTTGGTGGGCATTCTGCAAACCCTGGACACTAAAACCTTTCAGATTAAAGAATATTCAACATGAGCTATAATTAATAGGTTTTTAATTAATCCATAGAAGCCCACTAAGTTTTAATTAAAAGATAATTTGTAGGTAAACCTTTACTTAACATTTTTCTAAATGCAATCTTTAAAACTATTCACTTCTACTTTTAATAAGAACTAATTATTTCATACTAATAAAAAGTTAGTAAGTAAAGATCCTTTTTCAAATCGGACAAGGGCAAGTGAAGTAGAGTTCACCTGTTATTGTAACCTCTTCTTTTGAAGTTTGGTCAGCACTATGCTCAGCTACCTAACTTTCCCTAATATGAGTTGGGTGGACTCAACGACATTACAATGACTTGAACCCGGATTTGAAAACAAGATTTTCATTTTTTTTTCATGCTAATAATAAGGTATTTATTTTTAGATTTGACAAGCAGCTGAAACGTGCCCTATCTATCCCCAACCAAGACGAGCTATGGACAGCTATGTTGAGGGAGATGAAGGGGCAGATGTTTTTCTTGGCAGGCTTATTACTGCTGAAGAGAGCTCAATCTGTATGTACCCATTTTTAATGCTCTAATGAGATTACATTATTTTAATATGTGAATATTTCAATAGCATTTTTGGCTTTTGTTAGTTGGGCAAAGATTTTAGCCAAAACATTTATCATCGTATGTGTGTATTAGCTGAGCAGCTTAACAAAATGCTTTTTGCAACTACTCAGGGTGCAGTACAGTGGCAGGAAGTGAATCAGCTAGCAGGAGCTTGTTTCCTCGCCAGCCGTAGTATGGACCCTCTGGATGCCCAGTCTCCCTGGTTTGTGACGGCACCACATGACCGTAGCAAGTTTAACAGCTGGTGGCACCTGCAGAGCTACGACAGACTTTCACAAGTTGGTGAGTCTGCATTTCTGTTCCTTATTAGTTCTGAATGTTTAAATTTTTTTATCACCCTATTAGTTCTGAATGTTTAAATTTTCTTATCACCCTTAAACACAACTAGCAATACAAGATTTAACTAATCTGGCCTCTGGTACCCAGCCCAAACTATTCGTCTGGTTTATCTCATTTGAAGTGGCTTTTTACTAAAAATAGAAAAACAAAGAAATATAAGAGTTACTATGTGTAAGTAATTTATAAATAATTTATTTTCCTATTATCTTTTAGGTCACATGCTTCTGCAACTGTCCCAAAATGACCTGGTTGACTGGAGCAGAAGTGTTAAGCAACAAACCATGACAACAGTAGGCCATCAGAGAGTGTTCAAAACCCTCTATGCCCCTCGAGACTTGAAAGTACATGGGGAAGCGTCTTTTTTTTATGAAGCCAAAGAGATGGTGGATGGCTCTGATCCCAAAGAGCCCCTAACAATGCGACATATGCTTGATATTGACAGGGGTGAGCATACACTTGTACTAGCTGAAGTATAATAAAAGAACCATAAGTTTTTAAGTTTTTCTTTATTTTTCCTTGATAAAGTTTGTCATGTCTAATTTAAAAAAAATATCTACAGTGGCTTTCCAAGTTCACCTAGGAGATTTATCTCATTTAGTTTGGATTTGTCTCCAGCGTTATTCACCCGATATGCCTGCACAGCCCAACTGTAAGTCCCTGATCAATTCAGAATCTAATTATTAATTACTAAGTAACAGTTTTACTTGCTTACTAAACCTGTTTTGAAATATAAAAGTTACATCTGATCTAGCAAAATATGTTGTTTTCTTAGATCACTTCAGCATCATGGAAAACATTCAGTTCAGTGTAAAAAATCTGGAGAGTGCTGGAGGAGAATCTCTATGCCAGCTTGATCTCCTGGTAAGTTATTTTTAGATTCCTTCAATTACTCGAATTGAAATCATAAAATCTTGAACGTGTCAAGTGGCACTCATTTAAATTTATTAAAACCCACAAGCCAAATATGTATTCAAATATTAATTCAAAGCAATAAAAACTTTTTTTTGGCATCATAAATGTCAATCTGTAATTCTTAATTTGTATTAAACTAATTTAATTAATACTGGTACTGAAAATATTAGCCATATTAAACTCTTTTAGTTGGAATCTTTTTCTTCAGTTTTAATGATTTCTAAAAAAAATTATAGTTCAGTGGTAATTTTGATTATTGATTTTAAAAAAATATTGTGTTCTAAAAATATCAAACTGACATGATTATTGAAACAAAACTATTCTTACCAGGTATTTCTGTTAGCAACAGTCCGGTGCTCAGCCAGCTCTATAACAGAAAATATATTTTCATATGAGGACCGTTCAGGGCGGCCCACGCTGCTGCCTGTGTGCCTAGGCAAACCTCTCTGTACTCCAGAGCAAGAAGAGTGGTGGAAAGCTGCTTATAAATTCTGCAGCAATACAGTCAAGTAAATATTTATTACTAGAATACCCTGTAGTGATGTTTAGGCTTGGAATGATGACAGCATTCTAAAAACTGTCTCCCTTTTTATTTATTTAAGTCAACAACATCAGACTTAACACTAAATATTCTTTATTATAGTAAGAAAGACTCCATGGCTTACTATGATTAAAATTACCTTTTGTCTTCTAACCTGGACATGATATCTATTTTATAAAGCCCTCCTGATCTCTTAGACTTTAGTTTTCTATTGATTTCTTACATTACCAAGGTTCTTACACTACAATTAGCTTATTTGTTCAGAGGTAGTTATAAAAACAAATCAAATCTATCCAAATGGTTAGAGACAAAAGTTGTATACATACTTGGTAACTTATCATTTTCTTTGTGTAATCCTTGTTTTTTTTTTTTTATTGTTTGCTTGTTTGTTAGAGATGACTTCTCCCGCCTGAGAAGAATTTTGATTCGGGGTATTGAAACAGTGAGATTGATTGGCCAGCATGGAATGTCTGTGTCCCTAACAACCCACATTGCAAGATCTCTTGATGCAAAGGTTTGTCTTTTGCTCATTTTGTTTTTTTTTGTTTACAGATTTAATTTGCTGTTGTAGGATAGACCTTTGCACCTGTTTCTATAATTGATAATTTAAACATTCCCTACTTCATGTTATTATTTGAGATGTCATATTGATTGTTCTACTAGATAAAAAGCTTGAAAGAATCTGAATTTGGCTGCCGTTGTCCTGTGTCTGAGCTGACAGCTCTAGAAAACAGAGCAGCATTTTACTGGGAGAGATCACTTCAGGCTTTGGAGAGAATTAAGAGGTGAGGCAGTGTTAACTAGTTTTAGTGTGCTCTATTGGCATGTGATGCACTTGTCTGCAATGGTTTCAGTACACGCTAGGGTATGAAGCTGAATGTATTGTTAAAGCAGCATGTCAGGTGATAGAGCATATGCCTACTAATCCAAAAGTCTTGAGTTTGGATCCCGGACTTGAGACAGTAGGATGAGTCTGTAGGACATGTCCGTAGGACATCCCTGAGTCCACCCAGCTCTGATAGGTACATGGTGCACTTAAGAGAAAGTAAAGGTGGCTAGGCATAGTACTGACCACATCATAAATAAATAAAATCCATTTGTATGCTGAGGTCACTGAAACAGGTAAACTCTACTTCACCTGCCACATTGACCATCAGGTTTAAGGGGTTACTTTTACTTTTTTTTTTATCATTAAAAGCTACTGAACCAAATTAACACATTTTTTTAACTTATAGGAACCAGCACATTCCAGCACCAAAAAACCGAATGTTTAGAGAAGTTTCAGACCTTGACCTCCCTCCTCGACTGATTGACAAGTACTCTGCGGAGGTCAAGTTTGCCCTGTCACTAATTGCCATGAAGAGAGGAGATTTTGAAGCTGCCCTTGAAGGATTTGAGTCTCATCGCTCACCATGGGCCAAATATCACTCATCACAGGTTTCTGCAGTTTTGTATTTTACATATTGACCGTATAGAGTACAATTGCTTTCTGTACTAAAAAGTCTCTGGAAAATGAATTTTAAGATCTCATTCATTCCCATATTAAAATAGTGCAAAATATAATGTTAAATTTTGAAAATATTTGCATCATAGTTTTCTGTGTTCTGGTAGCTTGTATTATTTCCAATATAAGTATAAATGTGTATAAATTTCACGACAAAAAAAATGGATGGAGAGGCCTATTGCAATTGTCTTCTATACACCAATTATCGCTTTCTTAGCAGCAAACTAAAAATATTTACAAGGCTAATACAGTTTTATTTTGCATGACATTTTGTATTAATACTTGGTTAATTGACATTGTGTAATAGTGATAAGCCACAATTTTTTTTAACTCCTTGTGAATTAAGATAAATATTGTGTAGAAATCTTGAAAATAAAATTGTTGGAATAGTCTGGTTATAGGGAAGCCATATATAAGAACTTGTAACTTGTATTGACATGCAGCAGCTTAGAAGGTAAATAAAGATCTGAACTCACTTTTAGCAAATTATTTATTTTGTATATCTTAAACTAAAATTAAATTGTCCATAGATTTACAAGCTTCTAGCTGAAAAAGAGGCAGACAAAGATGATTACATGGATGGTGAAAGTAGCAGTAAAAAACAAGCGCTGCTACAGAAATCGAGAGACTGTTTACATGAAGTAATGGACCATCTTAGTGGAGACACAGCACATGTAAGTATAAACATTAATCCATTAGTCATTTTCTCTCTTGTTTAGTGGCAGAATGTAAAAAGTCTATGAAGTACAGTGTAACTATATAGAACAAATATAAACCTTATCTGCAAGTATATTTTTACTCATATTTGAACTCTTCCATTTTTTTAGGAACTGAATTACCTTGTTACCAGAGACTTGGATGAAATTGAAATGCAAATACATGGTTTTCAGTTTGGTAATTTAAATATATTTTTTCAATAGTTTTTATACAAAACATCTATTCAACAATAAATAAATTAGAATCACGCAAGCAGATTTAACAGGATTATACATTTAAAAATGTGACCTACACATTTCAGAAGAAAAAGATTCCAGTACCAGTAGCTCCTTCCACACCCCATCCAAATTCCCAAATGATGTGAGAGCCAGTAGTAGCATAAATGGTGGCATTGCTCACAGCACTCCAAGGTTTCCAACAGTACAAACATCTCGTTCTGACATTGGAATTCACACTTCACAGGTAATCCAAACAGCAGGATTTACTTACAAAGTAATGTAACTGACAGAGTTTTAAAATTTCTTAACATTTAAATTTTTTTTTCCAGTTTTGCTAAGTGCATTGACCTGTTTAAACTTAATATATTATCACCCATTTTTTATTTGTAAAGATATTGTATGAATTGTTTTTAAATATCTTCATGTGTTTGTTTTTTTTAAATCCCAGAGCACTACTGATACTAAAAAAGAAAACATTCGGGATAACAACATGTCATCAACATCCGAGAACTATGACCGACCACGCCCTTCCCCAGAGCGTCTAGATTCTCAGATCAAATCCTTGAGCTACAGCCAGACATCCTTGTTCAAGATGGTGTTGGACAGGAATGAGGAGCTCATAATGATCAATGGGAAGATGATGGAGGAACTCCGAGACAACAACAACCAGCTGAAGTCTGTTCTGGTGGAGAATAAAACACTAATGGATGAGCTGAAGGTACAGTATTTTCTTAGTCTTGTGTATATTTTAAAAAATCTGAATGTAGAGTGGATTAACTGTAAAAATAGAAACTATTAAAAGGTAAATTTAGTTTTCAAGTTAAAAGGCTAATTAAGTTCCCATTACCTTGGCATGAATGATGTAACACCTATATTTCAATGAGTTGTGCATTTTTTAAAAATAAAATTAACCAGGTTTTCGTAATTTTGGTTCCTAATTTTTTTACTTGATTTCACTTTATAATTATCTAAATAGCTTGTTCTTGTTTAATGTACTTCATTTGTTTTTATTGCTTCAAATTGCAGAATTTCCTGGCAGAAAACAGGGACATGATGAAACACATAAAGGTATATCTCAAAAAAAAATTTTGAAGAATTAACAACAAAATCTGTTAATTGTAAATGTATATTTCCATAATTTTTTCATTGGTTTAAATTTTATTGTAGTTTTTTTATTTCCCCAGAATGAACTCAGTGTTCTTAAAGCCAGTCATGTAGCATCTCCTGCTGCCACCATCCCACCAGCTCCTCCCCTCTTTATGCCACCTATGCCAGCCTCAGGTCCACCAAGAGGGCCATACACTGGGTACCCACCCCCTGCCTACAGTGGCTACATGATCAACTCCCCAGTCCCCCCTCAGCCACCCCTGGGTCCAGGCCCACAGTACCGCCCCACTGGTCTTCCTGGATCAAGGTCATCTAATGTTGGAAAGTATCGACCACAGTCAGAAGAAGATGAGGAGGAGGAAGATGATATTAGTAACATAGAGAGGGAATACTTTGAGCATGAGCAGTCTTACACCCAGTTCTATACTCCTGAAGCACAGATGCTGCAGGTAACTTTGTCAATACATTTGTTGGTAGTACCATTACACATATTCATATTACAAGATATTTATCGTATTGTTGCTTCTTATTGTCTTGCTTTTTCAAAGAAATTAAGGAATTTAATAGTACCATGATATGATTTAAAATATTTGGTAAAAGTGACTTTAAAGAATGTTTTGTGACTTGTGTGAAGAAGAAATTTATTTTCCGATGATGTTATAGGAATGGTCTGTGAGTAGTAGATCAGGAATAGATAACCAGCCACCTATGTCTTTGCCACCCATGCAGCCGAGGATGAATATGCCAGCACCTGGTTATTTTGCCTCTGCCCTGAGAGGACAATCTTTACAGTATGCTCAAAATGCACAAACACCTGGACAGGTGTGTTTTCACATATTTTTCTTAATTAATCTATTTTCAAATAACCAACATAATGTGTTAATTTGGTCCTAATATGAATTTTTCTTTTGTTTTCAAGGAAATGTTTTAGTAATTTAAATTTAAATTTCCACAGGTAAAACCCACCCCAGGACCAGGATTCTTTTCAACTCCACTGCCATCAGTAGTTCCTGCCCCTGCTCCAGTGATTGCTGCACCTGTAATTACAATTAATTTTATTAGCATTGTAGTCCAACTCTATTTGTTTAAGCAATTCTTGCATTAACCACAGAAATTATTATAGTCAAGCTGTTTAATAAACAGACGAAAATAAAATTATTTTGTTTTATGCAGGTCACTCCCATAGCTGTGTCAAATGTTAAAGGTCCTGTACCTGATACTACATCATCCCCTGCACTTCTGTCAGCTCTTTCTGGCCAGAGATCTATTACTGCGGGTATACAAACTTATACCTATCTTTTTACTTGTTCTACAGCTACGTGTATATAAATATTTTATACTTTTCTTGAAAGAATATTTAGTTCTGTATCTTGGAAAAATGCAATGATAACAGTAGATTTAAACATTACAAAATATTTTCAGGGACCTCTAAAATTGATTCGTCTGTTACATCCCCTCAGCCTAATGTGGTTCCACCATCTTTGAGTGGTGAGTCAAGTTAGTAGCGACGTTTTTTCTTCTTCCTCTGCATATAACTAAAACATAGCTGTAATTTCAATTTTTAAAAATGTTTTTAGTGTTATTTATTGTCAGGGTAGATTTAAAATATTTATATACTGCTGTTGTTTTTTTTTGTTGTTTTTTTTAAATTGATTTTTATTTTTTAACTTATTGCAGGAATCAAAAGTTTGTTCCATGCTAGAGCAGTCATGGAACCTAAAAAAGCTAAAGGAGAAATTACAGTAAGTGATCTATTAAGTTATAAAATTCTTATTCTTACAATATTTTCTTAAAATTCATGTCAAGTAATACCAAACAGAAATATCAATTACTTATTTAATATATACAATAAGTTTTTTTTACGTTAAAAGTTTGTTGATTGGTTATGTAGACATAATGTTGTTTCTACACTTTAACCAGACAAAGGTACAAAATAGTTATTTAAAAAATTAATTTAAGCTCCAAGGCCTTAAACACTACTTGAACACCATATAACCTTCTAAGCATACTGTGAGATCCTAAACGTTCATTGAGATTAGTTAGGAAAGACAAACTCATGAATTCTGTACCAAGGCGTGTGACCCTGGCTTATCTGCCTGCATATCCAAACCAGGAAGAACATAGCAATGGGGGTTTGGAGGGGGGGGGTATAGAAACCTAGTGAAAATGCATGGTCAAGCAGCAGGCAATGTGGGTGAGAGAATTGCTTGGCTGTTTATGCAGTTGCTGTCTTCCTGGATGAAGAACATTCTTCTTAATCTGTGGAGTATAGGGCAGCAACAAATCTTTGCCATTCCACTCTGTCTTGGGCGAACCACTTCATTTCAATTCAATCCTCAGATGCTCTCCCATATTGGTTTTATTTAGATCTGTTGCAGTTACTGTAGCGCTTTGTTTTCACATGGTGGGTTGCTTGCCCAAACCCAAAACCCTCCTCCTTTCTTATTCTGGACTTGGGATCAGACAATGGCGGAGTTTGAAGAACATTGCTAGAGCCATTAATCCAGTACTAGAATGAGATTAGTATCTAGAGATAGTTGGCTGTGTTGACGTTATCTTTGTCTCCACAGATTCTAGTGGACACCCACAACAATCGTGCCACCATCTTGATGATGAGTGACACCAGAGAGATACTCTACCATCATGACATCAGAGAGTTGAAGATTGAGCCATCATTTGTGGCCACCAATGTCATCTGGACAGGAACTAAAGTTGGATCTCAGGACAGGGAGAAAGTAACCGTCACTTTAGACAGCTCCTCCGTGGCCACACAGTTAAAAGATGTAAGTTGTTTTTCTCCTTAGCTCCTTTGGTTATTTTAAACATCTTATTTTTTTCCATAGTTTTACATTTAGTTAAAATTTCAAGAGATTTTTAATTGCAGCTTTTTTAAAAATAAAATTCTATTAGATAAATTATCTAGTTACAACAGTTTTCAATAAATGTAATTTTCACTTTAAGAAGATTATTTAAAAAATACATATTTACTAAAGTAACTTAAAAGTAGTCTATTTTTAAACCATTTTTGAAAGTGATTTAGTTTTATACAAAAGATTTCTTTCTATACCAGGCCATTCAAAAAGCTGCTGCACTTATTCAGCCTAAAGTCACTACTCCCCAAGGTACAATATAAAATTATTCCCTTTGTCACAAAATTGTTGTAGAAATTCAAAAACTTTATGTAATAAGGGTACTATGATATTGCCATGTGTTTTTTATTTTATTAAGCCCTTTTTATAACTCAACAAAAACCCTTTCAATTTCTTACCTCGGTAAAAATGATAATCAAAAAGAATTTTTTTTTTCACATTTTCATAACCTCTACTTGTAGTGTTCATGTTTAAACTTTTGTTTTCGTGGCAGTCTTGATATTTAATGTATATATTCCAGACACAAGAACTGCTCCCAGTATATTTGGTGGGTTTGCAACTCCCAGTAGCAGCTTAGTTACCACCACTACCACTGTAGCTGCCACTAGCACCACCTCAATCACCAGCCTGACAGGAAGCACCACCAAGACATCTCCCAAACCAACATTTGGAGGATTTACCTTTGCATCTAATCCTCTGGTCACCCCCACTGCTGAGAAACCTAAAGTAGACGCAAGTAAAAATACACCTGGTAATTCAATATTTATAAGTAAATTACTCAATGTAAATATGTTGAAAATACAAGATTTTATAGGTACATTGGCATATACTATTATATGGCAAAGTTTAGATGAGACTTAATGGCCACCCACAAGTCTTGAGTTTTGTTTTCTGGCTTTTGTTTGTAGTGTGACCATTAGTTTATCCCCTGAATGCTGCCTGACCTACATTGTAATTGCAGCTATAGTGATCTGCAAAAAAAAATGCAAAAAAAATAGCTTATTTATTTATGGTCTGTTTAAAAGAGGAACTTTTGTTGCTTAGTGTATAATAAAATAGTATACTTCTTTCAAATCTACAGTGACCAAAGAAGATGCACCAAAACCATTTGCTGGGTTTTCTCTGACCCCATCCTCTACAGCTGCTAAACCAGAGCTGAAATTCTCTGGTAAACACTAAATTATAAGTTTCTCAAACGATTACACCCTTTTTCTTGATATTGGTTTATTATTTACTGAAAAATTCTCTGACCTTTAAAAAACGCTTTACTAAAGTATTTAATTAAATAGAAATTATAAAAATAATTTTGATATGAACTTGATAATTTATTTGAAATAAACAACCCCTCATCTTAAAAAAAAATATAAATATAAAAAAATTTATGATAAAAAATCCATCTTTGAAAATCTCAAGTCTCTAATTTTGTTCTATTTCTTTGTTTACAGCATCTGACAAGTCCCTGTTCAGCAAGTCACCAGGTGCTGTCCCCAAAAGTCCAGGAGCCAAGAGTCCAGGTGCTGGGGATGATGACCATGTGGAGGAGTATGAACCCAATGTTGACTTTAAGCCAGTCATAGCCTTGCCTGAACTGGTGGAGAAAAAAACTGGAGAAGAAAATGAAACAGAGGTAAACCTAAATGAGTTTAGTTTAACAAAACTATTGTCTCAGTGTTGGGAAGGTGTGGTCGGATGGTAGCTTATGGAAGTCTTAAGACTAAGTTAAAATCACAGGTTCGAGTCTGTAGGATGTCCCTGAGTCCACCTCTCCGACTCACGCTTGGGAAACCAAGGGGGCTAGTTATAGTGCTGACCACACTATTTCATCGTTCCGAGGTCATTGAAACAGATGAACTCTATTTTATCTGCCCTATGTGTTAGGGGCACAAATGGAAAAAAGATGATTATGAATGTCTCATTCATTTTTATTCTTAAATTTTAAAATATATGTATATTTAAAGATTTTAAAATAAAAGTTCCAGAATGAAAATGTTTATTTTTTTAATTTTATTAACAGGTATTTGTTGAACGATGCCGACTGTTCAGATTTGACCCAGAAAGTAAACAGTGGAAAGAAAGAGGCACTGGAGAAATGAAGATTTTGAAAAATAAAGAAAAGGTCAAATTCAGAATCATCATGAGACGAGACCAGGTAAGCCATTTCATACTGCTACCAAGTACATTTTCAGCTCAGTTATTTTAAACTTCTGCATTATAATTTTAGCCAATCATGTTGCCAGGACAGTCAAAATTTTTTAGTAATATTATTAGGAGCATGATATGTTTAGTTTTTTTTTTATTTCTGTGATTGCCAATCAATTTTCTGCTGGTATTTCTACCATTACCCTGAGACTTGTTTTGATTCTGAACCTAATTAGGCAAGAAAAAAACTTAGGTTACTCGCTCCATTCATAAAGCACAATGTTTCTTTGCCCTATAAAAAAAGTTAAAAACATGTTCGTTTTATTCTTAGATCCTGAAGCTTTGTGCCAACCACTACCTCACCTCAGAGATGCACCTAACCCGCATGGCCACATCAGACCGTGCCTGGTGCTACTCAGCCATGGATTTCTCCGAGGAAGAAATGAAGGCAGAGCAGCTGGCTGTCAAGTTCAAGAATGCAGAGAAGGCCTCAGCTTTCCAGGTTGTGTTTGAAGACTGCTGCAAGCAGCTGAAGGAGGAGAAGGAGAAGAGTACTGCCCCTGGTGCTGTCACAAAAGGTTTGTTTGCTGATTTAAACAATTAGGCTTAGTTGATTAGTAAGTCTCTTTAAAAAATATCACTGAAACTGGATTTATATGTATCTTTTTTAATTTGTAAGTTCTGGATAGTAATTTTTTTTAATAGTAAAATAAATATTCAGCAATATTTTCTTGGAAGTATTTGAAATTCCTTATTTAATGTGGAATAATTAGTAAATTTAGTTAATCAGTAATTAAAACCCTTCTGGTTTTATTGGAATTATTTGAAACTCATTATTTAATGTAGAATTATTAATAAGTTTAGTTAATTGGTAATTAAAACCCAAAGTTTTACCAAAGTGAAGATAACGAATGTTGAAATTTTAAAATTCAGAGACCAAAACAGCAGCAGCTGACAGCACTTCTGATAAAACAGATGGAGCTGGTGCATCGTTTAACAAAAGCTCTGCCAGCCAGCAATCAAAAGAGACCAAGTCACTCAGCGACATGTTCAAGCCCAAAACTGGTAGCTGGGAATGCAGTGGTTGTTACATACGCAACAATGAGGATGTGGCTAAATGCCCTGCTTGTGGTACTGTCAAACCAGGATCAAAACCAGCCAGCACTGCTACAAGTTCATCGTTGAGTGAAATGTTTAAGCCCAAGGCTGGGAGCTGGGAATGTGATGGTTGTCTGGTGAGAAACAACTCTGATGTGGTCAAGTGTCCAGCTTGTGGAACTTTGAAGGCTGGCACCAAACCTGAGGATGTGCCTAAACCTGCAGCGGGTGGAATCTCTTTTGGTGCTTCTCTCTCTGCTGGACCTGCAGGTTTGTGCTTTTTCTTTTTCTATTTTAATAAAAACATACAATAAAAAAAACGGGTTGGCATGGTCGAGTCTGTAAAGCTCATGGTTGTTAAACCAAAAAAGTCTTATGTTCAAATCCTAGGGCAGATGAGGCTCGACAGCCCAGGAAGGTTGCTAAACTCAAAAGTCTTGATTTCAAACCCCCGGGCAGATGAGGCTTAACAGCTAAGGATAGCAACCCTTCTAGGACAGACCACCCCAAAATCAAACAACTGCTGCCTTGCAGTTTGTTCTTGTTTGGGCAAAGGCTATGGAAGCAAATCCAAAAAGAAAAGCAGGCTGAAATTGGAGTCAACTGCCTATATGGCATAACAAGTTGACACAAAATACCTAATTGTGTTGGAGGGAATCCCTTATAACACTAGAATTAAGAATGAAGAAGAATAAAAAACAGAGAGAACATTTTTTAACTTTTATAACAGTAAAATTGACTTGGTATTTGAAAAAAACGTATTCAAAAGTTGTTAGACTGTTTTACAGGTCTTAGTGCTTTCGTCCAATTATCAATTTCAGTTATTAGGAATGCTAAAATTGTTAAGTGGAAAGTTAAGGAATAAATTGTGTGCACATCTTTTGGGAATGTCATGATCATGCTTTTTATTACAATTATATTTTTTATATCTCACTTAAAACATTTTTCTTTTTATATAATTTCTTTTATAAAATTTTAATTTTGTGTCTACTTTTATATCTGTTATCAGGTACAGGATTTAAGTTTGGTACACCAGCCTCTAGCACTTCCTCCATGCCCACAACTGGTGGCTTTACCTTTACAGCACCGACTACAACACCTCCAGCCACAGGTGGATTCAAGTTTGGTGCTCCTGTCACCTCCACTCCACCAACTACTGGATTTGGCTTTAAAAACGACTCAACTGCTGAACAGAAACCTGCAGGATTTCCTGTCAAGACAACACCCAACCCCACAGGGTTTATTTTTGGTGGACTAACTGCACCTTCTGGTGCAACTGCTACCACCCCATCAGCTACCACCGCAGCAACAACATCCACTGGACTTTTTTCCACGACACCATCAACACCCTCCGGTTCATCAACTGCATTATCTACACCGTCAGCAGGGTTTACCTTTGGGCCCAAACCTACCGGGTTCTCATTTGCGTCGCCGGCATCTACAGCCAAAGCTCCCTCCAGCTCAGGCTTGCTAGCCAAACTTCTCACCTCAGATGATGTCAAACCTGAAGTGACATCAGCACCTGGTAGTGCTCCAAGTAAGTCAGATAGAACACCAGTTCTTTAGACTGCTCTTTAGACTTAAGAATTTGTCTTTACTTCTCATATTTAAAACCTGTTACCAATAGATTTTTTTTAAAACTTATAAGATTCTATTTATAAAGAGAGCAAATCTTGTGTGTTGACTACACAGCTTTTTGTTGAATATCTTAAACATTATAACATCTTCCCCATCTCCTACTCAAAATGACACCCCTTAAATGCTGAAATGTCTCAACTCTGTCCAAATAAAGCTTTTAAAAATAAAATTACTGACCTTAATTTTCAGCAGCTGGATTCAGCTTTACCATGCCCTCAAAAAGTAATACATCTTTTGGAAGCGTCACCCCTTCCACATCTTCAACAACACAAGGCTTCCAGTTTTCTTTCTCCAAGTCCCCGGTCAAATCACAGCAAATGCCAGTAGTCCCAGGTTCACCTGAGGTGGATGAACATGGGATGTACATCAACAAAGAGGGAGATGACTCTCATATTCATTTTGAACCAGTTGTTGCCCTTCCAGAGAAAATTGAGGTATTGATTATCTGATCCAAATATTATACATTGTTTATCATGACTTGACAGTGTTTAAAAAAAATTAAATGAGATACATGTTTATCAGGTAAAAACTGGAGAAGAGGATGAAGCCATTTTGTTTGAGTCTCGAGGGAAGATGTACAGATTTGTGTCTGGTGAATGGAAAGAAAAAGGAGTTGGTGTTGTAAAAATATTAGAGCACAAAGACACAAAGAAGACCAGAGTGCTCATGAGGAGAGATCAGGTACACAACTTACAGCATCAATCACTAAAATATTCCCAAAAATAAATACAATATTGTATGATTTTTTTTTTTAAAAATGAATGGGCGGGGGGGGGGGGGGGGGATAACAGTTGAACTTTAGAGATTAATTTTAATAAACATAAAATACTTAAATTCTTGTAAATACTATGAACAAAATATGTTTTAACTATGTAAATTGCTGGTTAATATGTACATGATTTTGATGGGTAAATGTTGAACATTGTATTAATCTCCATCAGGTGCTTAAAATTTGTTGCAACCACAAAATAGAACCTGCCTTAAGTCTACAGCCCATGGCAAAAAGTGATGGCAAGGCCTGGGTTTGGTATGCACTTGATTTCTCAGAGGATGGAGATGATGGTAAAATGGAGCAGCTTGCACTTAGGTATTTAGAAGTAATTTTTCATCATTTGCCATAAGTTTTGCACTGTTTTATAATTAGCTATATTTCTTTTTAATAAGTGAAGTCAAGTTTTTAAATTTATATTTTATGAAAATGCCACATGTTTTATAAACTAAATTACTTATTTCAGGTTCAGAAATGCAGAAATAGCAAATGAATTTAAGAAAGTTTTTGAGCAATGTCGAGACAATTCCAACACAAATCAGTCTAGGACCCAAGAGCCTGATGTATCCATCAGGGGAGATGAATCACTCCAAGGTAAATGGAGTTCTCTTTGATCTAAGTTCTATCACAATATGCTGGTTGTGGCTTTAAGTCTAACATCACAAGCTGATTATCATGAATGTTGTCACGTTGAGCCCAGGCTCAATTTATCTGTTTTAAAATGAAGAAATTTTTTTTAAAAAAAGGGTGCATGTATTCAACTTCATTTGGAACATACCTTTAATGGTATAAAGTTTCCTGTTTGTGCTTAAGACACGTGAGGCAGATGAAGTAGAGTAAATCTGTTCCATTGGCCGTGTCATCAATGCTGTGCCCAGCCATTTTAGTTTCCCTAACCTGATACAGGTGCCCATTAGAGCTGGGTGGATGCAGGGATGTCCTATGGACTCAAACATGATTGAAACTTGATACTTTCGAGTTAGCAGTCGTACGCTCTACCAACTGACCCTCTGCCTTTTTAAATGTATAAGCTAATATTATTTACTGTTGCTTTCAGTAATAGTTCAATGAATGTATTGATTTTGAATGTTTATTTAACTGTCCAATTTAGATGAAGATGATGATGATGTTATAATCATTCGTGAGGAAAAGCCCACAGCAGAGCAGATCGCCATGGCCAGAAAGTTCCTGTTGCCAGATACATTTTACTTGTATGAAAATAGACCACCATGTCCTGGGTGTATAGGCTGTGAAGATGGGGAACTCCCTAAGTCAGTTGCTCCAGTTTCTGCTGCCAAAACATCTGTCAACAAAAAATTTAAAGGTGAGAATTTCACACAGGTAACTCATTTCACGAAAGAAAGAAACAATACTTGAAGATATCTAGTCAGTCTTTACATGCTTGTGTGAAGCTATAACAACTATAACATACTCTTTAAGATATTCTGTCTCTACTACATATATTCAACCGATCTTTGATAATATAAACATTCAAATTTAATTAGAAAAACCCTGTTAAATATTTTAAAATGTTTCCTTTTAAAAATGAAGATTTAAGTTTCCAATGTAAATGTTCTCAGATAACCTCACAAGCACAAAGCCCCCAGCACAACAGACAATATTTGGAGGGGCAGGCAATCTGCCTGACTTTGCTAGTCTCACGTCAGACACACCCTCAGATAAAAAGGATGGCAATAGTTTTGTCTTCGGGTCAGGGGCGTCTCTTGACTTCTCCAGTCTGGCATCAAGCAATAAAGCAGAAGAATTTTCATGGAAAAAAAGTAAGTCATTGCAAAATAATTATTTGGTATGAAGAAACCTGGCTTAACAGTTTTTATAAAAATCTATATGAATATGAACAATGTAAGATGTGTAACCTTCATGATTTTAGCAGACGCGTCAGCCCCATTCAAGTTTGCTGGAGCTGGGCAGAAGTTGTTTGGTGTGGGGACCACAGGTAAAGAGGCTGCTGATGACGGTGATGATGGCGGTACTGTGGCACCAAGTGAAGACATACATTTTGAGCCTGTTATACCTCTGCCAGATTTAGTGGAGGTCAAAACTGGTATGGAAAACATTATTAGGACTTCTAATCAAGTACAGCACAGTTTTGCTGTTTAACAGAACCATATGTTAATTTTTGTTTATGTTATAAATATTTTCTTTTTTTTTTTTTTTTTTTTTTTTTTTTTGGAAAAAGTTTAATTTGATAAAATAGATGCTTTTCTATCCCTTTCCTTGCTAGTTTGTGTGGGTTATAAACATTTAAATTGATTCACTTAATTGGATAATTTATTTCATATTAGCAATTGTTTTTTTGTTTTTCATTTAAAGGGGAAGAAGATTGGAAAGTTTTGTTCTGTCAGCGTGCCAAACTTTACAAGTTTGACGAAGGTCTCAATCAGTGGAAAGAACGTGGCATTGGAGATCTAAAAATCATGCAACACAATACTAAAAGTAAGCTCATAACTAGGATATTTACAGTTTCACTTTGCTAATTTTAAAAATTGACAATAATTCAGGACTTTATACTTAGCTAAAAGTGGCATTAGAATAAGGCTGAGATTGCTTTTATCATGTTAACTTTGTGTTTTTTTTATGCAACAGATATGTTCAGAATGCTTTTATCAGGTTAACATTGTGATTTTTTTATGCAACAGATATGTTCAGAATCCTCCAGCGCAGAGAACAAGTGTTAAAGGTTGCATGTAATCACCTGATATCAGTTGACATGAACCTCAAGCCCTTGTCCACATCAGAGACTGCCTGGTGCTGGGTAGCCAATGATTTCACAGACACAGAGCCGAGCGTTGAGAGGTTTGCTGCCAAGTTTAAAGTGAGTCTCCTTATACTGCTAGCCTGAAGGTCTGGAGTTTGAACTCAAGTTCATAGTTGTGACTGTATGACTTCCACCCAGCTCTGAGGGGTTCCTGACTTATGTTAGGGAAAGTAAAGGTGGTAGAGCATAGTGCTGACCACAATATCTCTTCATATTCTGAGGCAAAGAAAAGTAACTCTACTTCATCTGCCCAATGGATCGCTAGATCTAAAGAGGAACTTTACCTTCTTACACATTAATCAAATGTACTAATTCAATCTGTTGGAGGGGTCGGCGTGGTCAAGTCGGTAAAGCTCATGGTTGCTATACCGAAAAGTCTCGAGTTTGAACCCTCGGGCAGATGAGGCTCGTTAGCTGGGGACAGCCACTCTTCTAGGAGAGACAACTCCAAAATCAAACAACTGCTGCCTTGTAGTTTGTTCTTGGTTGGACAAAAGCTATGGAAGCAAATCCAAAAAGAAAAGCAGGCTGAAATCGGAGTCAATGGCCTCAATGGCGCATAACCAGTTGACACGTAATCCTTAATTGTGATGGAAGCATGGTCGAGTCGGCAAAAGCTCATGGTTGATAAATTCGAAAAAAAAGTCTCGAGTTCAAACCCTCTGGCAGATAAGGCTCGATCCCTCCCAACGCTAAAAATTAAGAAGAAGAAGAAGAATCTGTTGGAAATATTATGGCTGAAACTGTTTAATTTATTTCAGACAAAAGATATCGCAATGGAATTTAGCAAGATATTTACTAGCTGTCAAGAGAAGCTTAGCACTCAGGAAAATGGTATGTTCTAATGAAATTAAAAATTTTGGCTTTAGTTGTTTGGTGTCTTTAAAAATTGTTCAGATGGAATTGATATATCGCACATTTTGGTTTCTTTTTTAATTTATGGATTATACCAACATGAGAAGAAATTATGCAAAAGCTGTTGCCACACTATGTTTAGAGTTAGTCTAGAACATAAAAGGAAATGATTTGTGCAAAAATTATTGCATTTTAAAATCATTTGTCTTTTCTGAATTAGTTTCTTTTGTAGAGCAGAATAAGAATTAATTAGGTTTGACTTTTTCATTCTCTTGACTTGTCTTCATGTACTCGTAGATTAATTTCTCAAATGGTGTCATTTATTTCAACTTTGTGCTCATACACATACAAATTAGTGTTTGCGTAGAAAGCAATAGTAAAAATTAAATGTGCCGATCATCACATTTTAAAAACTTTTTAGTTTCATCAAATGAAAAACCTCATTTCATTTCAACCTACCTTTATTCACAACAATGAGAGTTGTGTGATGGCCCTGGCCAAATTTAATAAAATGCATGATAATTTTCATGTTCTATTTAGCAAGCTCATCAGAAGCTGCTTTAGAAACTGGACGTGCTCAGGACGAGAGAGTTCAGTTGCTGCGCTCTTTGACGCTAGAGGTAGCTGAACAAGATGCTATTGTTCCAGCTACATACAAGGGCAGTAATGCCCGTTTACTTCTGTGGCAAAGCTTGAGTAGTCTTAGCACTGAGGAGGGTGGCGCGGGGAAACAAATGGAACATAGGGATGTTGTTGATGCAATGAGCGCTGGCTTTAGCCAAGTTCAAGGGGATAAGGGAAACAGGTTCCATGCTAAAGCTTTAGATGTAACTGGCCAGGATTTTGTTGCATCTTCATCTTACATACAATTGGGCGAGAGAGAAGCCAGTGAAGTTATGAAAAATGATTTGGTGACACCACTAGGGGACAAAGGCAACAGACACCATACAAAAGCCCTTGATGTGGTTGGTGAGGATTTTGTAGCCCCAGCTTCCTACACACCTTTAGGTGGCAGTGAACATGCCAAAGATAAAATGGTGTCTAGCTCCACAACACCACTGGGTGACAAAGGCAACAGACACCATACAAAAGCCCTTGATGTGGTTGGCCAGGATTTTGTAGCCCCAGCTTCCTACACACCTTTAGGTGGCAGTGAAAAAACAGGCAAAGATAAAATGGTGTCTACCACCACAACACCACTGGGCGACAAAGGCAACAGACACCATACAAAAGCCCTTGATGTGGTTGGCCAGGATTTTGTAGCCCCAGCTTCCTACACACCTTTAGGTGGCAGTGAAAAAACAGGCAAAGATAAAATGGTGTCTAGCTCCATAACACCACTTGGCGACAAAGGCAACAGACACCATACAAAAGCCCTTGATGTGGTTGGCCAGGATTTTGTTGCCCCAGCTTCCTACACACCTTTAGGTGGCAGTGAACACGCCAAAGATAAAATGGTGTCTAGCTCCATAACACCACTGGGTGACAAAGGCAACAGACACCATTCAAAAGCCCTTGATGTGGTTGGTGAGGATTTTGTTGCCCCAGCAACCTACACACCTTTAGGTGGCAGTGAAAAAACAGGCAAAGATAAAATGGTGTCTAGCTCCATAACACCACTAGGTGACAAAGGCAACAGACACCATTCAAAAACTCTTGATGTGGTTGGCCAGGATTTTGTAGCCCCAGCAACCTACACACCCTTAGGTGGCAGTGAAAAAACAGGCAAAGATAAAATGGTGTCTACCACCATAACACCACTGGGTGATAAAGGCAACAGACACCATACAAAAGCCCTTGATGTGGTTGGCCAGGATTTTGTAGCCCCAGCAACCTACACACCTTTAGGTGGTAGTGAAAAAACAGGCAAAGATAAAATGGTGTCTACCACCATAACACCACTGGGTGATAAAGGCAACAGACACCATTCAAAAGCTCTAGATGTGGTTGGTCAGGATTTTGTAGCCCCAGCTTCCTACACACCCTTAGGTGGCAGTGAATACGCCAAAGATAAAATGGTGTCGAGCTCCATAACACCACTAGGTGACAAAGGCAACAGACACCATTCAAAAGCCCTTGATGTGGTTGGCCAGGATTTTGTAGCTTCAGCAACCTACACACCTTTAGGTGGCAGTGAAAAAACAGGCAAAGATAAAATGGTGTCTAGCTCCACAACACCACTAGGTGACAAAGGCAACAGACACCATTCAAAAGCCCTTGATGTGGTTGGTCAGGATTTTGTAGCCCCAGCTTCCTACACACCTTTAGGTGGCAGTGAAAAAAATAAACCAGATAAAATGGTGTCTAGCTCAACAACACCACTAGGTGACAAAGGCAACAGACACCATTCAAAAGCCCTTGATGTGGTTGGCCAGGATTTTGTAGCCCCAGCTTCCTACACACCTTTAGGTGGCAGTGAAAAAACAGGCAAAGATAAAATGGTGTCTAGCTCCACAACACCACTAGGTGACAAAGGCAACAGACACCATTCAAAAGCCCTTGATGTGGTTGGTCAGGATTTTGTAGCCCCAGCTTCCTACACACCTTTAGGTGGCAGTGAAAAAAATAAACCAGATAAAATGGTGTCTAGCTCCACAACACCACTGGGTGACAAAGGCAACAGACACCATACAAAAGCCCTTGATGTGGTTGGCCAGGATTTTGTCGCATCTTCATCTTATACCCCACTTGGAGCACAGTCTGGCTCATCACAGCCAACAAGTTTCGGCCAGCTTCTACCATCTGTGTATTACAATCAAGGGGATGGAGGAAATCCTTTCTACACTCAGATGTTGAACCTGGCTGGTCTAGTTGAAACAATGACCGCAACAGAAACAACCCCCTTGGGTGATAAAGGAAATATCTATCACACCAAATTGTTAGACAAAGCTGATGTGGGCACAGAGGCAACACTCACAGCCTCTGGTAGGTTACTTGAATGCTTGTAGTTGGCATGTTATGCTGCTCTGGCTTTAGTTCTAATGGACATATCATGCGCTGCACCTTGTATACTCCAGTCATTATTTGTATAATTATTTGTTTGGGGAATTAACAAAGCTATTTCACTCAGAAATACTTTAACCACATCTATATGTTAGGTAATATAAATTGTACAATCAAGTTCTAATGTCTTATTTACTAAAATTATTTAACTACATTTCCTAGTTGTTAATATTTTAACATATTTTAATTCACAGTTGGATCTAAATTTTTGTCAAATGTATCAAAGATTTTTTTAAAAATTGCTTTATTGTTAACTCCTAAATACTGTACCAATAAGTAACCTAAGTAACCTGTTTCTTATTGCTCTTTAATTCTTTACCCAGTCACAGTAGATTTTTCTTTAGCATTTACTTTCAGCATAAGGAACCCATTGTATTGAAACTTTGTATTTCACTGTTCTCTTGTGTCCACTATCTCTTGTTTAACATAGATTGTATACTAATAATTTTTATGGCAATTTCAATTCTAAATTGTTACATTTTGTACATGTAGATGTTATAATATAATATATATTATATATAAAATTTTGAATCTAAATTAGTTACTAATAAGTATTATGCTTGCTGTAAACCATTTTGAAATCTTATTTACAGCAGTTGTGGTCAGTAGACCAAATAAAGCATAGCATCTAAGCATTGATGCTATTGCCACTGGTAGAAGTTCTTATTTCTTTTGTAGATCAGTAAATTATGTAGGCTACTTATCAAATATGGGGTTTTATTTTATCTAATATCTGGGTTGTTTTTATTTTGGCTTTTTTTTTTAAGGTTTTGTGTGCACCCTGGCATCATTCTCTGTGTTTATTTTAGTTGTTTTTTTTAGAATAATATATTTATACATCTGTGAAGTTACGACTATTTAAGTCTTTTTAAAAAACCCAATAATTCATGACACATTAAGCTAGTGGTAGCTAATATACCCATGTGTATTTTGTTTTGTTAAATTAAACATAAATTATGGAAAACCCTCTCAGTATTTTTTACTCTTTGAAAGTTTTTTTTTTATACTTCTTAAATTTATTTCATGTTCAAACTGCACCCTGTTTTTTATTTTAAAAATAAGGGTCATTTTTTTTTCTTTTAATAGTAATATCACAATTTAATAATGTAATGTGATGGTGTGATTAGATGTAGCATGCTTACACTTTATAGAGGTATTCTCTCTAATTAAAACTGTATATAGTTTTATTATGTCTGCTGTTTCAAGTTCATGCTATCTTCCTTTAGGAAGATTATTTGTAAACAGTCAATACCTTTGGGACTTTACTTAGAATGCAACGTAATTAAAATGAGAACTACTGGGTTATACTGTGTACTTTCTGTCTAATTTCCTACAGGCTATTTCTAATTTTGACTTGTGCAAGTGAAAAAAGTTTAATTATCTAATTTCATGTGGTGTATATATCATACTCCTACAATAATGCTTTGTTAGTTTATGTATACACAAAACGTAGAGCACTAAACCATCCATTGTACCCATTTATATAATCAATTTTATAGTAAATGTGTAGTGAAGTGAAATTTATTCATTTGTATACATATATTCTAAAAAGGCAAAGCACTGATTTATTAACCTTACACTGTGTATGCTTAAAAAAAATAGGTTTACATTTGTTGTGAGTTAGTTTGAAAATGTTAATTTCATTATAATGAATTTTAACTAAGATATTTGATTTTTTTAGCTCTTTTTTTTTAAGTATATGGGTTTGTTTTTAAAAAAACAAGAATCGTTATATAAGCAATGGACTAGTTCTAGTTTTTCTTTGTAAAAGAGGTTAAAATTAATAGATTTAATAGTAAAATAAAATATTTCTGCATTGATATTTATAAAGTTACAATTTACATAGCTGCAAGTTCTGTAATAAACTTAACTGCTGTCCAAGTTGTAGATAATAATAAAAACTTTACATGTCTAACAGAAATTAAAATAATAAAAGTAAATTAACATTTGTGCCCACAGTTCAGTCATCTGCTTACGAGGATGAAGAAGAGGATGATGAAGAAGAAGAGGACAGTGAAAACATTCTGTTTGAAAAGAGAGTTACCTTAAGTTCATATGAGAATGGAACACTGACGGTAAATATTTATATCAATTGAAATGTATCTAGCTCAGCTTATATATAAGTATGTGATCTGGTTGTTTGTTAACCCCATTGATGTTGAAATTTTGTTAGCTTAGTTAAAGTACATTATGATCCTGACTATGTTTTAAGCTTAACTAAGAGAGATTTTTATCACTCCTTATTTAAAATTACCTATGTATTCAATTGTGAATGGCTAAGCCAATGTTAATTAACTCTGATGTTTTTTTTTACATCTAGAGAATTGGCCTGGGTAATGTCCAAGTAATGTACAATGAAGACCTCAATGGCAACAGTATAGTCTTCAAAACAGATGATGGAGCCACAAGATGCAGTCATGTTATCTGTCTAGAGCACACCATTTCTTTGTGAGTTGAAACTTGAAAGTCTGTTCAAACATTAAAATTAAATGTAAAACCCTAGTCAGTACAAACTTTTTAAAACAGTTTTAGAATAAAAAGAAATGTATTTGTGTTGGTTATTCTAATGGGGCGGGATGAAGAAGATTTTGTTTCTCTGACGCCAATCTATGAATATCTCCATATTGCCAACTCAGGTCAGATACCCTGAAGTGGACAAGTTTGTCATACAGACGAGCTCTTGACTTTATAGTTAGATAAATACAGTGTAAATTTTAAAGTGATTTTTAACATGTTTTTTGTTTTTTTTAAAAACACTACCCCATACATTCATAAAATAATTTTACATTGTCATTTGAAGCTTTATTGTATCATACAAATCTAAGTTGTTGTTTTTTTTAGATTATTGGCAGCTTTTGTCACTCTTAAAAAATAATTAATTTTTTTAGAATGAAAATTTGTCGCACTTAGTTAAATGTAGTATCTTAATAAACAACTCTGTTGTAATGGAAAGGTTAAGGTATCTGAGAAACTGTCCCATATCCAATGTTTTAGGACCATTTGAACAGTGAATGGTTTTTAAAGACATGTTTAAAATGTTTTTAACCCACTATATGTTTGTTACAGTGATCCCAAACGTAATGTCTGTGAATGGAAGCCCATTGACTATTCAACAGATGAGCCAATCAGAAAACATTTCTCAGCTGCATTTAGTTCTCCACAGGCAGCCGAGGAGTTTGTCAAACTTTTTAATGCGGTAAGAATAACAAACATCTTTTTATAGAATTCCTTTATCAACATTTGAAATGACATTTTTTAATTACAAAGTTTTAATATTTTAATTGTGAAATTGCCTAATTGGTTAGTTATATAAATGGCTTTTTTTTTTGAAAAATAATAGCTATGATGAAAAAAATTGTAAAGAATAGCTTTATTTTTCGGTCTTCAATGAATTGTTTTGGCCTCTATTATTGAAAATAAACCGTTAAACACATTTTCAGGGCCAAAAGCTAGCAGTAGATTCTGAAATCTCAGAAAAAGTGCCGACAGATATTGATGATCCAGAAATTTATTCTGCTGGAGGAAACTAAAAAGTAAATAAAACTCAGTTCTTCTTAGAGGGTATTCATTGTTAATTACAGTTGACCTTTTTTTTTATTATGTTGTTTTGGTGGGCATGGTAATGGATGCTTTAATTAGAATCTGAACAGTTTTTTTTTTTTAACAACAGTAAAAATAATTTTAATAATTTGTAATATATCTTTGTTTGCTTTCAGATGAAGGGGAAATCCTTTCAAGACTAATTCAAGAATAGGACATAACCTTAACTTGTTTTTTTTTTAAAATCCAAATTTAAAAGTTGATCTCAATTGATGAAGGAACACTAAATATTTGCAATTTATTTTACTCATTTTTATGGATGTAAAACAGCTGTTTTACAAGAATAACTTTTCAAAGATAAAATTGTTGAGATGGCTTGAAATTGTGTTAGGTTGATTTCTATTTTACCTTGAGGCTGTATATGAACCAACTATGCTATGCATTAATTTTTGTCTGTTTAAATCCATCCTGTGTTCACTACAGCTTTAGTTCTGAAAATGTACATTTTTTTTTCTGTAAAAATGTCTGACTAATGTATTATTTGATATAGAAATAAAATCACAGGTCTTATATTTCATTTGTTATGTAGCTATTTTTATATCTCTTGTTACTTACTACAATGTTGCTAAAAAGAATTTTATTTTCATGCTGTTTCAATAAACTAAAAATTTGAGTCTTGCTAGATGGAAATTCCCTTGCTGTTACAAAAGTAAAGATTTTTAATTACATGTGGTATTTAGCTGTGTAATAAACACTTAAACAGGAGTTATGTCTAGGAAGTATAGCTTATTCAGAGGAAAATAGGTAAACTGCTAAAAAAAATAATTTTAAAAAAATATCAATGTGTGTCTCAAATAAATTGTCATATTGCATGAGATTTGGAAATCTGGTATTGTTTTATTTAATAAAACAGCATGCAGTAGTCAAGTAAAAAAAAAAATTCTTGTTTGAATTAAAATGCAACATTTTATCTCATCACCTCATGTTTGAATTTATTTTTAAAAAACAATTCTTAAAAAACTTTGTGGAGGATTTTAGCAAATCATGTTGGATTTTAAAAAACATTTTAGGTCTAGTTTTGAATCACGCAGTAAAGTAAAATGGAAGTAACGAAACTTTTGACCATCTTGTCTTGGTTTAAGTTAAACATTTTATTGCTTATGCTCTAATTATATAACATCAAGATTTTTCTTTCACGCTTTAATATATAACATCAATTATCATTCATATATAACCTGGTTTAGTGAATGTAACAATATAATTTATAACTACTTTAGTTGTATCACCAGCCTCAGCAGTTTAAAAATTTATTTCATAGATTAGCTCTACACATTCCTTTTTTGCTAAAAAAATCTGTTACTTTTTATGTTGTGTGCATTGGTACTTAAGCATCGGTGATATAAAGTATAGCTACCACCACTGAGGACCACTAACATACATCATTTTACATGTTATTGACTTTAAAAATTTATAAGTTAGAAAACCGTTTAAATTAAAGCATGGAGTTTGTTACAATAATTTGTTAACAAATGTTTAGTTTGTTAAAGTTTTGGGCCTTGTATTTTGTTAACTGATGTTTATGAACATAACAGTTGTTGTGTAAAAAACAAAAACACCGAACTATTAATTGTGATTTTCTAAATTTAAAATGCATTGGTAAAGAATCTGGTGGGCTTCATTAAAGCCACTTTTTTTTTTACATAACTACTCTAGCCTTAACGATACAATTAATCCCAGCCTTAAAAAAATTGGCAAAAATGCATCCAATATGCTGGCAATATTAAAAGTCCCATAATATTATAATACAATAATATACCACTACTATTAATGAGGATTAAGTTTGTTCATTGTGTATTTCTTTTACACTTTATATGGTAATGCTAATGGATCCTATTGTTGTTTAAAGTTGTATTCAATTAACATAGCTTAACTACGTGTTTGGATATTTGCCTTGGCAAATATTGTTTTCATAGGAAAAATGGATTTGTCTAGGAAAATTATGTCAAGGGAAGCTAATCTGTAAAGGGAAATATTTTTCTGTCAAAGAAACACTTTGCCAAGAAAAAAAAATCAATAAAAGGAAATGCTGCAGATCTAATAGATTCCGCTAATGTAATATGTTGCATAATGTTACTTCAATAAATAAAAGCTGAGTATTCTAATTGGTAAAAAGTTATAACTAGATATAAATAACTACTCTGAAATTAATGGATAAATATTTCTTTAACTTTTGTTTTTTAATTTAATTTCAAATGACTCTTGAATCAAAATTATTTGTTTTGAATCAAAATTTTGCCTATCCAAGTGAATTATAAAAAGTCAATTAACTAAAAGTTAAGTCATAGTATTATAATTATTACATTTTTCTGTTTTTTTAGTGTAGGTGCTGTTTTACAAAAATATTATAAAGAACCTGGAATATGCATTGATATATGGCACTGCTAATTGAATTTTCCTTAACTTATATATTGATTAAAATTAATGTGTACATAAAAATACCTGGCTTTGTTGTATTTATCAATGTGATATCAGGTGGAGGGCAGTAGCATAGGTAGAAGTTGCATTGGGAGGGGGTGGAGTGTATTTAAAAATGTGTTCACTAGCCTGTTTATACATATTTATCTAAGGAGAGCGTGTAAGAAGCCAAATTGAACTTAGGTTGTGGGTCAGGGCTTCGCATAAAAATTAAAGGTCGCTGTTCAATAATGTTAATTTTTGTCACTTGCAATGTTTACAATCCATCATTAGTTTTCGGCTATAGCTTTAATGATATAACTGTCTGTTGTTTCAATTAAGTTCCAACACTATTATCAATTATCTAATTAGACTTAAGTCATTATTAAGTTCTGAAGGAGACACTCATTACTAGCTTTAATATCTAGGCCTATAAAATCATCATTAATAATTGAGTTTTAATGCATCATTAGCTTTCAGGTATGGCTTTAATCAACTTAAATGATATAACTATTTGTTGTTTCTATTTGGTAATAGGAATAGGTTAAATTGTAATATAATTTAATTAAAACAAGATTTTACTTTACAATTACTAAATAATACAAAATATTTTCCCTGACTAATATAAGTGTTCCAAGGTAAGGTGTTAGATCTTCAGCTAATCACTCAACTGACATAGGTTCGCAACATAAACAGATATTGTCAGTTTTTTAATAGTCCCAAAAAGTGGAAATCTCAAAGCACACTGTATGGCTCAAAATCCTTGCTATTTTTAAATGTCTGGTTTAATTATTTTTTTTTTTTATTATTCATATGAGGTTTGTGCAAGAAAGAAACCGATTCATAATTATTGTGACTCTGATTCAGATTAAGTGAATCACAGGTTTTTGTCTTGAAAGTTTGTTTCCCATTTTTAAAAAATACAAATGGGATGCGCTAAAGGAATATCCACACCAATGCGACGCATACACAAGGGACGTGCTAGCGGGCGCTCTGCTAGTATTAAATATGTGAATCCCTCTCTCCATAGAGAGATAACTGTGAATTAAAAACTGGTTATGACGATTTGTACACTATCAATTTTTTAAAATATAATTGGGAGGGGGGGGGGCTTTTTATTTTAAAAAATAAAGAAAATTGCAGTGTAGTCGATCTTCTGTCCCGTAGTCTTGATGGACTGTCACGGCACGTTTCATCGTATTCCTCCATTCTACTATAGTCTTCTGTCATCACCAATGTCTGACACGTTTATTCCATGGTGTTCAGTATTTCTTTTCATATTGGGGGGGGGGGGGGGGGGTGTGGCATTGCGGCAGCCCCCCGACCCCCCGAACGAAATCGATTTTTTATGGAAAATAGATACTTTTACCAGTGTCCATCCCAGAAAATATAGTCCGCCCCCCGAAAGTTTCGAGTAATGCCCACCCCCGGAGAAAAAGTGTTTCTTCCAGACTTTTTTCTCCGGGGGCCACTTGATATTTTCGGAGGTGGGGGGGGGGGCGGTCAACATTTTCCGGGAGGGGGGGGGGGGGGACGGACACTAGTAAAAGGAGACCAGAGAAAAAGGAGGGTGGGCCGGCCAAGGAAGACATGGAGAAGAACGGTTGAAGAAGAGGCGAAAACAGCTGGGCTCACATGGGCACAGATAAAGGGAGCAGCACAAAACCGAGTCCGCTGGAGATGTGTGGTTGCAGCCCTTTGCTCCCCAGGGGCCACAAAGGAACGATGATGATGATGATGATGATATAAATCCCATCTCGTAGACCACCCCCCCCCCCCCCCCCCCGAAGAGATGCCTGGCGGTGTCTTCTCATTGCATCTTTTGCTTGCATTTTGTTTTTGTCTGGTACTGTTTCTTGTAAAAAAAAATTTAAAAAAAGTTTTTACACAATGTTGTAAAATGTCGTCAGTACCATTTTAGTTTGATTAACGACTGCCATCTGAAATGCGGTCTGTATGATAATCCAAGACAATAAATTAAATATTCAAAGTTCAGAAACATGAGAAACAAATGCATTGCGAATGTATTGACAATATCGACGTCAGATTTTAAAATGTTTTTACGGGTTCAACGCGTTTCTTATTATATTATTTTTTAAATTTGTGTTACACCGTGTAACCCCAATCTAGAAAGATTACATCGAACCAATTATGAGTGCTATTGTGATTTCAAAGCTTCTACGAAAAAAAGTGATGATTTATAGTGCACTTAGAATTGAATTGAATAGGGAAGCATTGAGTGCCGCTTATGTTTTTGTCAAAGAAAAAAATCTGAGTATCGCGCATGCGTAACATCTCAAGTACGAAGTTGCTGAACTGAAGCGAAGGACAGCCTATTAAAATGAAACAAAATTGCTCTCAGTGAATGAACGCTTGTTGGTGTGGGTGTGCCTATAGACTATAGATCTAGGTATAAAATTATTTTTTTTCAAGTTAGAAAATCGGGGTTGGTCAACAAAGATGCTGTTCAACATTTGTTGGTAATTTAACGAGCGTCACATGTCAAGGAATGCAGACCCAAAACTAAAAAGAATACTTTTTTCATGAGCTAATCTGTTTTGTCTAGTTTAACAGCTCACGAAAGTTACATACTAAATAACGCATCGTAAGACCCCATACACAAGTATGGGGAGATGAAAAAGAAAGCAGGAAAGGCCAAGGGAGACGTGGAGGCGCATGCAAAGGAAGCAGCTGACAGAGGCAGGACTGTCATGGGGGACTGCCAGGAAAATTGCCGGAGACCGACATAATCGGATAGAGCTTTCTGTGACGGCCGCATGTGTCTTGGGTACAAAAGAGAAATGTTGATTATTGATACCCGTTGTAAGGGGGGGGGGGTGATGCTCTGAGTTACCTCATTGGATGTCACCCGACCTAGTAACGAAAGTAGAAGATGGATTGGTGTACTACTACGTATGACGTCATTTATAGACGACTCCCTTATAATAAAGAGGAAGAATTTTATTTCATCGGAAGGTGCGAATTTCAGTGGGGTAGGCCGCAACATGAAAGTTGTTTAACGTTCCATTACAGTGATTGGCTATGGGGCCTTATTGTCGCTTATCGTTGAGAAATTTTGAGCGGCGTGTACAGCAATGTCTCCAGGTTTGTTTCTTCT